CCCCCCCCCCCCTACTCACCGCCAGCAAACGACTCCCGGTCCCCACCACCGTCCGCATCACATCCCCCACTGGTGTTCCCAGCACCACTGTCCTCACCACCGCTGTCCCCACTGGTTCCACCACCGCCCCTACTGTCCCCACCAGTGGCCCCACCACTGTCGCACTGTCCCCGCTGTCCCCAGAACTGTTCCCACCACGGTTCCACTCTCCCCACTGTCTCCACGGCCCCAACCACTGCTATCCCCACTGTCCCCACTGTCCCACTGACTCCTCCGCTGTCCCACTGAGCTGTCCCACTGTTCCCACCACTGTCGTCCCCACTGTCCCCACCACTGTCCCCACTGTACCTCTGTCCCATTGTCCCACCGCCGTCCTCGCCACCGCCTTCACCACTGTCCCCACCACCATTGTACCCTCCACTGTCCCACTGTTTCCACCTCATTCCCATTGTCCCCACACCACTGTCCCCACCACCACCGTCACCACCACTGTCCACTGTCCCCCCCTGTTCCCACCATTGTCCCCACCACTGTCCCCACCACTACCGTCCCCACCACTGTCCCACTGTCCCACTGTCCCCACCACTGTCCCACTGTCCCCTCACCACTGTCCCCACCAACACCGTCCCCACCACTGTCCGCACCCCCACTCGGTTTTCGAGGGGGGGGGGTTCGAACCAGGTAATGACCCCCCCGGTTTTCGGATCCGGAGGGGGGGGGGGGGGGGGGGGGGGGGGGGGGGGAGGGGTTCGAACCGGTAGTGACCCCCCCCCCTTTTCATGATGAGCAGGGGGGGGGGGGGGGGGGGGGGGAGGGGTTCGAACCGGTAGTGACCCTCCCCGGTTTTCGGAGGGGGGGGGGGGGGGGGAGGGGTTCGAACCGGTAGTGACCCCCCCCCGGTTTTCCGCCAGCAGCGGTAGAACACGCTCTTTCATATATATGTATGTATATACATACATTTACATTTACATATATATATATATATATATATATATATATATATATCGATTTGGCACACACACACACACACATCTATATATATATATATATATATATCATCATCATCATCATCATCATCATCATCATCATCATCATCATCATCATCAGCACCCACAACCACCTCCACCACGATCGCCACCACCACCGCCAACAACTCCCATCGTAAGTCGATCGCCTCCCCTGTCCCCCCCAAACCTCCTTATCACCCGAAGGGTGGTCCTATCGGTAAGTATAGCATGGATCATTGGGGTGAGGACGGGTGCATTGACGGATGAATATGTATGGCATCCGTGTTCGCCAACATTTTCCGAATCCCGTCTTGCTGACTATTCACCAAGCCACATCAACCAAACCCGAACGAAGTCGCCGTTGGGCCTGTCAAGTTCCAGTGGGGGGACGTGCTGGATCATCGAAACAAAAACACAATGGAACCCGCACGCCCCCAAGCCTGAGTTTTTGGGGGGGGTCTGAGATCTTCGGGGTTACCGGCCTCCTAGATAGGGTCCGAGAAAATGGGGTCAGAGGATCGCGCCGCATCGGCGATACGACGGCGATACATCGCCGATGCATCGGCGATACATCGGCGACGTCGGCGATGCATCGGCGCCGTCGGCGCCGTCGGCGTGAAGAAAACCGGGCTCCACATCGAGCCGTATCGGCGATGCATCGGCGATGCGTCGCCGATGCTCGGACCCCGGAGGATTGGGCTGGGGCGGCTTGGTATACAGTGTCTTCCTCCTCGGAACACCTCAGCGGCGGCCGGCGCGTAAACGCCCGGCTCCGCCGCGGCCCACGCGGCACGGGCCCGCGCTTCCATGCCGAAGTGCCGAGCGCCTGCCGCCAGGCTGGCGCGGAACTCGTCCGCGGGCCGGTGCCCCGCCGCCACCCCGCGGGTCCAGACCTGCCAGGCGTTGCTGGAAGCCCAAGCCCCCCTTCGCGACGTGAAAACATCAGGAAGGACAAATGTGCGGTTTGCTTGTGTGTTTGGCTTCTGGGGGCCCTAGCTTGTCCTCGGGGCTTCAACTACACGACTCAAGACGACCAGCCTCTGGGGAGGGTTCCAGCCCTCTAGGGCTCGACGTTGGGGAAAAAATCCGCCGACCCCTTGTGGGTATCTACGGGTGTGAGACTATCCCCCCCCCCATAATCCCCCTCCCCAGGGGCCCCAAAACAATTTGACCACCCCTTGGCCCAGCGCGACCCCGGACCGAACGCGCCATGGGGGAGCGGAGGTCTCCAAAACGTGCCAAGAAGGCACCAAAACGCTCCCGAGACGGTCCCAGAGGGCCACGAGTCGCCGAAATGTCGCTCCTTGACGCCCACGATGGCCTCCAGACGGCCTCCGAAGCTTCCAAGACGCCCCAAAAGGCCACCAAGATGCGCCTCAACAAAAATCCCAAGAAACAGAAATCGCCACATTCGGTTTGAAAACAACATGTTTCGCATACGCGCCTTTTCGGCTTTCGCAACGTCAGAAGCGGACGAGAAAACCTTCAATATCGCCCCCAAACGGCCGAAGGGGCCCCCAAGTGGGGTCGAAAAGGAATCAAAAACAGCCCACGAAGCTCCCAAGACAGCCCGACAGGGCCCCCAGACGGCTCCAGGACGGAGTCCAATGGACACCTTTTCAAGCCTTCGGCCCCCAGACGCCCCCAGCCTGCCCCAACAACACCCCAAATGGCCCTGAGGGGCCCCCAAGAGAACCCCAAAGGCCTCCAAGAAACCCCAAGGAAGCCCCCCAAAGGCCCCAAAACTACCTGCAAGACGACCCCGTCTGTCCTCCCACGAGAACCCATCAACCATCTGCGTGGCCGCACACCCGCAAACCAAACAAGGTGGCGGGGTACGCCGCCTGCCACACGAGAAACACCCGCCCGGTTTTTGGACCGTCGCCTGCCGTTTATGAGCGCGGGTGCTCGCATGTAAGAGGTCGGCGGATGTGGCGTAAGCCTATAGAATCCACGTCCGGAAGTGACGCGTTGCCGGAGGCAGGTCCGCGGAGGCTATAATGCAACGTATCCGATGTATCCAATGATTGCATACTTGCTACATATTGTACTGTGTTACATTATTATGTACCCCCCCCTACCCCCCCCCCAGGGGCCACACCACTTCCGCCGACCCAAAGTGGCCCCTCCCTTCTTAACGTCAAAAACCTACAGAATCCAACCAAAACCTATGGAAAATCTGTGATTTGGGCCTCGTCGCACTTTTGGGGCCCCACGAGGGCCTCCAGACGGCCCAAGATGGCCTCTGAACGGGCCAAGACGGCCACAAGACGGCCCGACATTGCCCCAAGAGAGCCCAAGAAACCCCGTGGATGGCCCAAGAGGGCCCCACGAGCGCCCACAACTGCACCTCCAGAAGCAAAAAGCATGATTGTTCCATGTTTTTCATGAGTTTAGCGTTCTCGTTTTTTTTTTCTACTCTCAGAGGCCCATGACGGCCCAAACAGATTCCAAAATGGCCCCATAAAGGCCCCAGAGGCTCCGAAGAGGGTCTCAAAACGGCCCAAGAGGGCCCCAAGACGCCCCAAAGAGGCCCAAGTGACGTGTTGCCGGAGGCAGGTCGCGCAGCGGAGCGGAAGCCCTACTGCAACAAATCCTATGTATCCAATGATTGCATAATTGCTTGGTATTGCATTGTATTGCATTATTATGTCTCCCCCCCTACCCCCCCCGCCCCAGGCCACGCCGCATCCACCGACCCAAAGGTGGTGGACCCCTCCTGGGCTTCAACATTAATTAAAACCTACGGGAAACCGATGATTCGGGCTCCTTGGGCATCTTGGGGGTCTACGGCGACGTCAAGACGGCTCAAGACTCAAGATGGTCCCAAGACGGGCCAAGACGGCCCCAAGACGGCCCAAGATTGCCCTAAGATGGCCTAAGAAGCCCCTAAGACGGCCAAGAGGGCCCCAAGAACGCCCACAAGAGCGCCTCCAGAGGTCAAACATATTAATTTTCTTATAGGTTTTGAAAGATTTTAGCGTTCTCGCCTTTTTCGGCTCTGACAAGCCCATGACGGCCCAAGCAGCTTCTAAAATGGCTTCACAAAGACTCGAGAAGCACCCAATGGGGGCCCCAAGAAGCCCTCAGAGGGCCCCAAGACGGCCAAAAGAGGCCCCCAAGACGGTCCAAGAGGCCCCCAAGAGGGCTAACGAGGACCCCAACAGAGCCCCAAAGGCGGCCGCGAGGGGCCTCCCAGGAGGCCCCAAGAGGCCCCAAAGAAGCCCAAAAGAGGTCCCAAGAGGACCCCAAGAGGCTCCCAAGAGGTCCTCAAGGCTGCCACGAGGCACAAGAACGACTGGACTGTATGTGTTCCGGACGTGCACCCCGCGAAGCGAGAGGAATCCACGTCCGGAAGTGACGTGCTGAGCGGCAGCGTTTTCCGCGGATGCTGTGATGCAACGTATCCAATGCATCCAATGATTGCATAATTGCCACATGTTGTATTGTGCTACATTATTATGTTCCCCCCCTTACCCCCCACCCTGAGTCGCGCCACTTCCGTCGACCCAAAGGTGGAGGGCCCCTTCTGGGCCATAAAACTTGAAAAACAATGGAAAAATTATGTGTTCGGCTCCTGGGGCCTCTTGGGGGTCTACGAGGGCGTCCAGACGGCTCAAGATGCTCTCGAAACGGACAGGACGGCCCCAAGACGGCCCAAGATGGCCCCAAGAGGGCTCAACACGCCCCCAAGATTGCCCAAGAGGGCCCCAAGAGCGCCCAACAGAGCGCCTCCAGAAGCCAAACACATTGATTTTCCTCAGGTTGTTGAATGATTCTGGCGTTCTCGCCTTTTCCGGCTCACAGAAGCCCATGACGGCCCAAGCAGCCTCCAAAATGGCCCCAAGACAACCCAAGAAGCACCCAAGGGCGCCCCAAGACGGCCCCAGAGGGCCCCAAGACGGCCCAAAGAAGCCCCCAGGACAGCCCAAGAGGCCCCCAAGACAGCCCAAGAGGATCCTGAGAGGGCCTCAAGGCGGCCGCGAGAGGCCCCCACGAAGGGCCCCAGAGGAGCCAAGCGGCGCAGAAGCGCCACAAGTCGGCCCAAGACGGCACAAGACGCCCCCAAGAAGCCCCCAAGAGGCCTCCAAGAGGTTCCAGGACCCCCCCAAGAGCCCAAGAGGCCTCCCAGAACCCCCAAGGAGGCTCCCAGAACCCCCCAGGGGGGCGTCGAAGCTCAGGAGAAGGACAGGATAAAGGTGGAAACTGACGGATCAAACAAGAAACCACGGAGGTAACGAAATCGAGAGTTGATGGGAAACCAAGGAGAGGGCTCAAGGAGGATCCACAAAGCTCCAGGATGGAACAGCAGGCCCCCGGAAGAGTAGGACGAAGAGCACGAGGAGGAAGCTGGATGGGGGCCGAATGAGGAAGAGGAGGAGTAGGAAAAAGAAGGGGAGGTAAAGGAGGAGGAAGAGATGGAGGAAAAGAAGGCGGAGGACGAGGACGAGCAGGAGGAGGAGCAGGAGGAGGATGATGAGAAGGAACCGAAGGAGGAGGAGGAGGAGGAGGAGGAGGAATAAACAAAGAAAACGCAACGAGGAAGCGGAGAATGCAAGGATGAGGAGAAGCAAGCAGCAAACGGCTGCCAGAGAAGGAAAAGGCAACACGAGTAGGCTGGAGGATGAGAAATCGGAGTGAACAGGAAACAATGAGGAGGAGGAAGAAGCAAACGGCAAAGACAGGAGGAGGAGGAGGGGGCACGAGGAACATGAAGCAGAAGTTCGGGGGATACATGGGGGGGAATAGAGGAGAAGGAGAACAACGAAGAGGATGATGGGGGGAGGGGACACGAGGATGAAGTAGGCCGAAAAGGGGCAGGCAGGAGGAAGCGAACGAGGCGGGAGGAGGTAGGCAGCAGTACGAGGTTCGCAGGCAGAAGAGGACCCTAAGAGGGTCCCCAAAAGCAGTCCAAGAGCCCCCCAAGACGGGCCAACAAGACCCCAGGAGAACCCAAAAGGCGGCTCCAAAATGAACACCGGCCCGGACTCCCAAACTGCCAGACGACACGAGAGCGACCAAGGACGGGCAGACGCCCCCACGAGGCTCCCAAAAGGCCCCACAACGACTGGACTCTACGTGCTCCGGACGTGCACCCCGCGAAGCGAGAGGAATCCACGTCCGGAAGTGACGTGCCGAGCGGCAGCGTTTTCTGCGGAGGCGATAATGCAACTTATCCATTGTATCCCATAATTATATACTTGCTACACATTGTCTCGCGTCACATTATTATTTCTCCCCCCTAACCCCCCCAGGGGCTACGCCACATCCCTCGACCAAACCTGGCGACCCCCTTTTGGGGCCCCAGACCTACCAAACCTATGTAAAATCTATGATTTCGACTTTTTGGGACTCTTGGGGGGCCACGAGAGCGTCAGGACGGCTCAAGATGGCCTCTGTGCGGGCCAAGACGGCCCAAAGACAACCCAAGAGGGCCCCAAGGGGGCCCAACAAGGCCCAAGAAGGCCCAAGACGGCCCGAGATGATCCCCAAGAGCGCCTACAGAAGCCCAAGTCTTTGATTTTCCATGGCTTTTGTATGATTTTAGCACCTTCGCCTTTTTCGACCCTCAGAGGCCAATGGCGGCCTAAGCAGCCTCCAGCATTGCCCCACAACAACCCACGAAGCCCCCGAGAGGACCCCCGAAACGGCCCAAGAGGACCCCAGGACGGCCCAAAGAGGTTCCCAAGACGTCCCAAGAGACCCCCAAGACGGCCCAAAGGACCCCTAGAGAGCCCCTGGGAGGCCCCGACAAACCCCCAAGATGGCCTCCGAACGGGCTCGACGGCGCAATGTGGTCCGAAGACGGCCCAACACTCTCCCAAGAGACCTCCAGGAATCCCACTGAGGCCCCCCAGGAAACATCCAACAGGCCCCCAAAAAGCCCCCAGGAGCCCTCCAATAGCGGCCCCAGAGGTCTCCAATGGACTGGACTGTACACGTCCAACAGGACCCCAAAAAGCCCCCAGGAGTTCTCCAAGAGGGCCGAAGAGGTCTCCAAAGGACTGGACTGGACAGACTCCGAGCAGCTCAAAGGGGCCTTGCAGAAGCTCCAGAGGCGCCGGATGACTTCCACGATGCGTGCAACAGGCCCCCCGACCGACGCCGAGACGGTAGGACGGCGTGCACGGCGCGCGGAACCCACGTGGCGGCAGACGAGCTTGCAAAACCGTCCCACACCGACACACTGCGCCAGTTATACTCCTTTTTCCTGCGGCCGCTACCGACAGGACACTCTGGCGCGAACTAGAGCTTCCGGCAGGCGGGGCACACCAGGCCTGCTTTGCCGCGGTTCAACGATGCCACTGCTTCCCGAGGAATCTCGGCCTCGCACAGCCCATGACGGCCCAAGCAGCCTCCCAAATGGCCCCAAGACGGCGAACAAAAACCTTCAAAAAGGCCTCCATGACGACCCAAGCGGGCCCTAAGACGGCCCAACTCAAGAGGACCCCAAGGAAGCCCCAAAACGGCCGCGAGAAGTCCCCAGACTGGCCTCCGAATGGGCCACACGCCGCAAGAGCGCCCCGAGACGGCCCAGGACGCCCCCAAGAGGCCCCAAAGAAGCCCAGTGCAGAAACGGCCCCGAGAAGCCCCCAAGACGCCTCCAAGAGGCCAAAGAGAAGCTCCCAAGAGGCCCCGCAACGACTGGACTGTACGTCCTCTGGACGGTCACCCCGCGAAGCGAGAGGAATCACGACGTCGGGACGTCGGGTGTCTGGGAGTGGTCCTGGCCCGAGTGTTCCCAGCGTTCTTCTGCACCGTCTTGGAGCCCCTGGGCCCTCCCTGGGCCCCGTGAGGGGTGCTCTGAGGAGGCCATCTGGGCCTCCCCGGGAATCCTGGGGACCCCTTGGGCCAGAGCCGGACGAATCGAGACAACGGCAGCTCAAAATCGCTCCCTGGACTCCTCCTGGGGTCCAATCGCACCAGCTTGCCAACTTCCCGAAGGCCAACTGCACCGTTGTCCCAACTCGCCTCCCACTGAGCCACCTCCGGCAACTCCCGGTCACCTGGGAGAGCAGCTGCCGGCACGCCCGCCGCGCTGGCGCCCCCGAGCCCGCCGACACGTCGTAGCCAGGGAGCAGCTCCGCTGGGCCGCCGAGCGCCTCCGCGGCGACGAGGCCCTCCTCGACGAGGCCTTCGGGAGCCGAGGCGCCTGCGGCGACGTCGGGGTCCGCGAGCAGGGAGAACCACCAGGCTGCGAAGCCTGCGCTGGCGGCCCGCAGCAAGGCCCTCAGGGCCGAGGGGGGGCCGTCCTGGTGGATCTGGATATATTTCGGCCCCTGGGGGCCTGAACATGTCCATATCCACCGCCTGCCGAGGCTCCGAAAACTGACCCTCCAGGCGGTGGTCATGTATAGACTCCCGCCTCGGACTGAGGACCCTGGCTGGGCCCCAGGACTGTCAGAAACGGCTCGGGATGAAGAACTGGCCCTGGGGAAAAAGGGTGGGGACTTCCCTGGAAGCTCCTGGTCGCTTCTGCGGAGCCTCTCTGCCTGTATCACAAGGCCGTCCCCTCTTCTGCGCCCCGTGCGGCCTTGGCCAGGCGGATCCACGCCAAAGGTCTCGCGGAACCTGCTCTTGAAGACCTTGCGGAGGCTGCCAACGGCGCGCTCCCTGACCGCCTCCTCCGCACAGATCTGTGGTCGGTTGGCCACCCTGCGCCCCGCGGAAAGGGAGGGGGGGGGAAGGGCCTTGGAAAATAACCAACCGAGCAGATCGCCCAGAGGCAAAAAGGAACCGAGGATCAACCGAGCTCTGAGGTTCTGACTGCCAGTCTTGGCCCGAAGGGGTCCTGCTCGGTTGCCCCTGGGCCTCCATTCGGCACTGACCCAGAACTCTGGCGTAGTTCCCCACCCAGAGACAAGTTGTCCCCAGAGAACCTCCGACCCGAAGAGGAGAGAACCCTGAAACAAAGCCAGGACGAGGATCAAATCGGGCGAGGATAAATCGAGAATCTCTCAGATCTGGCGGCTCTGGAGGATGCCTCGGACTTCGCGGCCGTCTCAGAGCGTTCCGGCACGCTCTGAGAGCGTTCCAGAATGCTCTGCAACGGATTCATCCTCGTCCTGGCCCCGCCCGACCATCCCCAGGACCAAATCGTCGCCACGGGCTGTCTTCTGACAGCCTCCGGGTGGCCGACCAGACCACGACCCATAGATCCGCAGCGTCGTCGCGGCCATCCGACGGCCGCGCGCGGCGGTGGCGCGCCCAGGGGGGAGGGGGGCGGGGCCCGCGCTGCGGAGCCCTGGGGGTCCCACGACCGTGTAGTGACAGACCGCGCGGTGACCTCGAAATCCCAGGATTCGAATACGGGATCGACTACAGAATCAATTTACCCCAACATTAATTTTTCCCGCCGAATCCATGACAAATTCGTGGAATGTTCGTAGATCTATGTCGCAGTCTACGTATCTTTAATGGAGTCGACGAGAGAACCCATGTCTGGGTCAATAAATTATGTAGTCGATCCACTACATAAGAGATGCCTCACCGCGCGGTCTGTCACCGCATGGTCTTGGGATCCTGGAAACCCCAGTCGCCCGAGAGCTCCTCGGAGAACGGCACCCATTCCAAAACCGTGCGGGGACCCGGGGCCCCCGCTGACTCACCACGCGGTGTGGTCACCACGCCTATTGGGAGCCCCCGAGAGCAAGAGAGACCCGGGCCGAGGGCTCCGCAGCGGGGAGGCGAGATCAGACCAGCTCGGGCTGTGGACCAGCAGATCGAACCATGATGGCGCTCAGGATGGGGGACGAAGGAAACAGGGGAAGCAGGAAGATGAACAGGATGAGAAAGGTGAGAGCAGGAGGGCTCGGGAGGCTGGGGGGAGAATTGTGTTAGCGGAAGAGGACGACGGGGGAGGGAGGGAGGGAAACTGTGGAGAGCAGAGCGGGGAGCACGAGGTGGAAAAGAAGAGGGGGAGGACGCGGAAGGAGGGAAAGGATGAAGGAGAGTGGCGGGACGAGGGGGAGGAGGAGGAGGAGGAGGAGGAGGAGGAAGAGGGGAGGAGGAGGAGGAGGAGTAGGAGGAGGAGGAGAAGGAGGAGGGTAAGAGAGGGGTGGTTTAGGGGGGGATGGATGGATGGATGGCGCCTTGCAAGGTCGAGAGGTGACAGCGCCAACAACACGCAACTCGAGCTCAACCCTCCATGGTTGATTTCGAAAGCTCTTGTGCCGCATTCTGGCAAGCGGCGCCGCCATTATGTGTTCATGTGGGGTGGGGTGGTGTGTGGGGGGGGGGGGGGCGACGGGGCGTCCGAAAATAATCGTGGGACTGAAGTGAAACTTGGCTCAAACCTCCAGGAAGATCCTGTACTGTCCAGCCGTGGCACAGGCAACGCGTTACCCACGATCTCGCGCACACGCATGTTGAGTCCGAGGCCACGCCTAAATCGATTGAGGACGTCCAGTCCTTTACGCGTGGGCTCACCACGGACCTCAGCAAGCTTTACGGCCGCCCATGGCGCCTCCTCCCACACACACACAGTTTAAGCGCAGAGCCCGCTGCTCCCGACAGCGGCCTCCGCTGGCCCCAGACCGAGGAGTTTCCAAGGCCGCACCAGCCACAGCAACGAGGAGGTGCCCCTAAGGATCTGACAGCAGCTTTTTCAAAGCAGGTGGCGGGCCTCGACAACCAATCATGGCACTATCGGGCAGATCACACACCATCCAGCATTACCTGCACTGCATACCTAGTCACCAACGTCGCCACAGATGCGAATTCCGACTCGGTCGACTTCGCCCGATGCAAAAACGGGGCTCACTTCCATCTTCGTGCTGATACAACGGCAGGACTGCCAACGCTAATTCAATGAACGCATTGGCGCGGGCCTGGTAGGTTTCAGCACGCCCCAAGGAATCAGGATCAGGAGCAGGATGGCCCAAGGAGGCCTCCTTGGCATGAGGATCCACGACGCGGTTCGCAAATCCAAAATGCCGCCCGCCACCCTCTAAAACCCCTGGTTCCTCAAAGTCTCGGCGGGCCTTCACATGGCAGGTGGATAAACACATTGCCTGGTGGCTCGTGGGGTAACCTGCGCGCGCGAACAAACATATTGGTTCCTGCAAGCCGCTTCCAGATGGACCTCTGGCCCATGGGTCTGACAATTGACGGCCTTGCAGTCGAGGGCCAGCGAGTCGGGCGGCCTGCAACCTGTCCTTACAACGCCTCCGACGCATGCTTTGACATCGCTGGTGACTGTGGCGAACTCCCTGGAACCAAACTTCTGAGGGTAGCAAGACGAGCTTCGCTTCCTGGATCCAGCACGGCGATGGGCCACGAGGCCCGATGCAGGCAACGGGGGGCCTGCTCGCTGCAGCTCCTGTTGGCCGCCAGCTCGGAGTTCTGGGAGTGTCTCGCGAGGGCCGCCGATTCGTCGGACTGGCGCTCTAACGCTGTTCCTGCGCCGTCCAAGACGTCGCAAATAGGTGGGGGGCGCGTCGCTGTCGCCGAACGCGAACGCACCGCGCGTGACAACGAGATCGTTCGACTGCGCCCCCACTTCAAGAATGGCCCCCAAGATCTCAATCTCACTCCTGGCTTAGACGACCTCGGGACTGGCGCGGAGATGCAGCGCGCGACGCAGGGCGCTGCGAGATCCACGCCACTTACGGAGCCCTTCAATAAAATTTCCAGCATCACGCGGGCGCGCCTCCGCCCAGACCGCATCGCACGCGCGCGCGAAATCAGCGGGCAATGCCCCTGCCCAGTCCGGCGCCAGGCGCGCATGCGCATGCTATTGCGCACGAGATCGAACGCGGCGCGCGCGCCCGCAGGATGGCCGAGCTTCTCAGCGAAACGAAGCTCCGCCTCGCGCCGAAGGCCCTCGCTGCGGAAGTCAATTAGGACACGGGGGGGGGTCTGCGCGACGTCGACAACATTGCCCCAGTGATCCAGCCGCTGGGCCCAAGAGACCACCCTCCGCACCGCGCGCCTAACTGACGACGCGGCGCGCGACAGTGGGCCGCGGCTGGGCCTCCAATAACCCGCTTCACAAGCGCGCGCCTGTCCCCGCAACTGTGGGAACTCCCGCGGGAGACTGGGGACTTCGCGGGAGTGGTCTGCGAATTCCAGAGAACACTGCGCAAGTGAAAGGCTGGGCCGACTGCCGCGCGCGCGCCCCATTCGCCACGTGGCGCATATTTCGCGCGAGCGCTCGCGCATCCACTGGGCGAGGGCAATCTGCGCGCCCGAGCCCGAAAACCCGGGATTCTCAAAGCCGCGCGACGACGCTGCAACAACACCAGGGCGAAGGACCTTGGCCAGCCCTAGCTTCGCCTCCTCATTCGGCGCCATATGCTCGAACCTGCCGGTTTCCCCAGCTCTGAGCCTCACCCCCCAATCCTAGCACGTTGCGCCTGACGGGCCCGAGTGGCTGGGCGCCTAGCACCAGAGGGCTCGCCAACCCCAAGGTGCGCGACAGACGTTTTGAACGCCGTAGGGGAAAGCCCAAGAGCGATCACTGTCTCTTTGGGAAGCCCAAGGCCACTGGCACCAACATCTACTTTATCATGTACATGTGCAGTCATCACGCTGCTCACAACGTAGATCTCGTTGATGGCAGAGACGGCAAGCCGCGCAGCGCGGGGTAGATCCGCGCCCGAGATCGGCACCTCAAGATCGTCGCTGCACGACGCGAGCTTCACAAGTGGCGGCAAGCGGGCGACGCAACAATCGAAGGCAACAAACGCGCGGATCTTAATGCCGATGCGATGGAGGCCGTCGCCTGCTGGGGGCCCGAACTCAGCAGGCGCAACCCCAACAGAGCGGTGCTGTCGCAAACACAACGCCCAGGGAACTCGCCGCAAATTATGCGCGAACTTGAAACATTCAGTGGGTCCATTAGTTGAACGGAACTTCCCACGGGGCAGGGAGGAATCGTCTCATAATATTTGAAAAATCTATTGTCATCAGCGCGCTGCGTCGGCACGAACGCACAACTGCCTCAGCACGAGCAGCTTGCGCCCAATCATAATTCATGCCCCCCCCCCGACTCGCGCCCCCAGCGCCCGCGCCCCACCTCCTCCACGATTGGCTTTCGCATCGGCCCCCACAGCCTCTGGCGGTAAAGATGCATGCCACAGCATTACGCCACGAGCCTATAACCAGAAGAGGGGTCGGGTAGCATTGGCATCCATGCCTGCAATATTTCGGGGGGAAGGAGGCCTATCGCCTCGCGCCGTTGCCGCGCCCCAGCAGGCAATCCTGGGCCATGATCGTCCAAGAGCAAGACTTGCCTGAGATGGACCTGGTCCACTGAACGACCAATGGTTTCATCGTAATCACTCTGGCCGGCTCGTCGGGTTCCCATCGGCGTCACCCTGGGGAAAGATGCGATCGGGAAACCTGGCAGACGGAAGATTGATGGGGGCGCTCGCCAGAGCTCACGATGCAACTGCAGATCTTGCTGCACTTCGCTGCGGGTGTCAGCACTGGGGGCTCTGGGGCCATGCATCGCCGCGGGAAGAGACAGGCCCCTCATCATCTCGACCCGATAAAGGCCTCGCGCTCCACCCATGCTGGCCGTCTTGCACGAGCCACTTCAGCCTGCCTGAATCTCGCGCGCCCCCCCTTTGACGGCGAGATCAGCATCCGTCGACGTGAGCTTCGAGAATTCGCCGAGCCTCTCTGTGCAACTTCCTGTTGAAGAGACGCTCATCCACTGAATTGCCCAGGCGCGCTGAGACCTGGCGGACGGTCGCTGGCTCGAACCAAACGCACGCTCGGCACTCGGAGCCGCCAAGTTGGCATCGACCCGGGTCTCGCGCTCGGCCAATTGAAACAAGTGGGACGCGCTGCCGCGACGCAATTGCCGACCTTCGGCGAGGACCCCCCCCGCAGTTACATCAGGAATCGGCTACTCAGAGCAGGCCCAGCGCGGTGCAGCCCAGCGCCCGAACCAACCGCAGTTATCTGTCGCGCCCCCTGCGCTGGCGCCGACGTGCCCAACGGCCGACTGAGCAACTCTTCTGGGCGACGCATCCGTGCGCGACGCCTCGGTCGGACCCTTCGTCCTGGGCGAGGCGCGCGCGTTGTTCCGCAGGCCCATGCACCAATCCCCATGAAGGGGGCTCGGGTCGAGGGCCCGCTCGGCGCCGGGGGGGGGAGTGAAAGGTCCGCAGTTTGCGCGAGATGCTGCACCTGGTGCCCATGACTAGCGATAGAGAGCTGGACGGGCCTGCGGGACCTGTCCGCTCGCTCCTCGTCGAGCTGCACTTGCCCATGCGCTCGCATGCGCGGGTCAGTCAATGAAAAGAAATCCGCCGATCCGGCGTGTGAGTTTCAAGGAGTCTCAGCTACAGCCTCGAGGCTGAGCTTCAGCCTCTGGGGGGGTCGCCGGGGTGGCTCTGCCGGGGAAGGGGGGGTGGGGGGGGGGGGGGGGGTGCGAGTTTCCGGCGAACCCCGGGGCCGCTCCGGGGGAGTGGAAGATAGGGGGGGGGGGGGCGCCATGCTCCGCTTTTTCCGGCGCTTTGGAGGAGGGGGGGGGCCCAAGAGACCCCCAAGGGGTTCCAAGAGGGCCCCGAGTCGCCGAAAAATCGCTCCAAGACGCCCGAGATGGCCTCCAGACGGCCCAAGGTGTCTCCAAGACGCCCCAAGAAGCTTCCAAGAGGCCTCCCAAGAGGGCCCCAAGAGGCCAGAATCGTTGATTTTCATTGGTTTTCTCAGGGTTTTTAGCGTTCTTGCCTTTTCGGGCGTCCGACGCTCGAAGACGGCCCAAGAGGCCCCCAAGTCCGTCCCAAGACGGCCCACGATGCTTCCAACACGGCCCAAGAGAGCCCCAAGACGGCCCAAGAGGGCCCCAAGACGGCCCAAGAGGGCCTCTGGACAGCCCAAGAAGGCCCCAAGAGAGCCCCAAGAGGGGCCCAAGAGGGGGACCACGAACCGAAAGAACCGAGCTTTCCGCCCCAAGAGGCCCCCAGGAGGCCCCAAGAGACCCCCAAGGGGCCCCAAGAAGCCCACAAGAGGCCCAAAAGAGGTTCCAAGAGGCCCCAAAACAGCTCCCCAGAGGCCTCCAGACTGCCTCCGGCAGGCCCCCGGTTTCTTCCGCGGCACCGCCCAGGGCGCCACCGGCAGGATGTCCTCCGTCTCATCGTTTTCCTTCAAGTTATCGCCTCTTCCTCATTCTCCTCCTCCTCCTCTGCGACCTCACTCCTATCCCTCAACGATCGCGTCACCGAGTGCCTCTTCTTTGAAACATCCTCGCTCTTCAAACGCACATCCATACACACATGCATACATACCTACATTTAAACACATTTGCATACATAGAAAAACAATCTTCCAGACATACATACTTACATTCACACACATACACACATATTATCATACACACATACAAACATACATACAAACTAAATACATACATACGCGCACAAGCATACATACATACATACGTACCTACACACAGGCACACATGATCAATGCATGCATACATGCATGCACGCGTACATACACACACATATATCGTGAAACTCACCGCGTGCTCGAAACTTGAGAGAGACCGCGGGAAGTCGAGAGAAGCCGCGGAACGAGGCCTCTACTACTACTACCACTACTACCACAACCACTACTACTACTACTACTACCACTACTACTACTACTACTACTACTACTACTGCTACTACTACTACTACTACTACTACTACTAATACTACTACTAGTACTACAGGAGCGTTTCCCAACTAGTATGTGTGTGTGGGTGATGCTGTGTGCGCATGTCTGCGGCGCAGGTTAAGTGGTGTGACTGTGTGTGTGCGTTTGAGTGTGCGCCCATAATTTCTGCGTCTGGAGAATAACCCCGAGCGACCCGGATCGGCGGCACTGGCCGAAGGCCACTACAATCGATCGCATAGCAGCCAATACCACCCCTACAGGAGCGAAGCTTTGTGGAGACCAGCGTGGGCACTGCAGAACTACAAAAACCCGACGCTTCAACCTCATCAGTGGACATGTCCCAGCCGTCTCCTGCAATGCGCGGACCCTGCAAGCGTTCGACGAGGGCCCGTGCTGCAGCCGTCCAAGTGGCATTATTCCCCTGTGGGCAAAATTGGAGTTGCACCAGAAGAGATGCGGGATTTCCTCGCAAGCCTAATTGCGCTCGCTGCACTCGGTGCTCGCACTGCTCACGTTCGCCTACATGCAGCGTCCGCACTCCGCGCTCGTTGCGCGCGCGCGCCGCCGCGCCTGCCGCCTGCGCCCGGGCGCGCGCCGGGCCGCGGGGCAAGACGGCAGCGCCTGGATACTCCATCCTCTCACTTGCGCCCACGACCGCGCGGCGTCAACCGCGCCAGCCACGCGCCCAAACTCCCGGACCAGCGCGACAAGCGCGCGATGCGCCTTCGACTGTTTCTTCCCCGCGTGCTTGCACCCGCTGCAACTGAAGGTCTCAATCGCGCGCTCGCCGCTCTGCGCGCCGCCTTCAAGGTTCCCGGGGGGGGGGGGGCGCGGCTTGAATCCCGCGGCCCGCGACGGGCGGCAGAAGGTGGCCGCGCGCGTCGCAGGCCCGGTAGACAGCGAGGCGCGGGCCCCAGGCGGGCGCGGCGCCGTCGCGCAGGCGCCCTCATTAGTTGGCCCGACCGCAGAGAAGGAGTTGCTCACGCTCGCCCCGCGCGCCGCCGGAACAATCGGCACCGCGCGACGTGGCGTCGTCGCGCGCCGCGGCCAACCCTGAGCGCTGCCCGCCATTCCTCCCGACACCGCGCCCAAAGGGCTTCCCGCCGCCAGCCCGCGCTCCGCCCCAGGCGCCTGCGGGCCCCGCCCCAGCGCGCCTGGGAAGGGGGCAGCGTCGCCGGGGTCAGGGCGCGCGCGAGACCAAGGGTCGCCGCGGCCATAGCCTCGCGCGGCCGCATCGCCCGCGTCGTCGCGAAACCGTCGGTCAGGCTAACCGCGCACGCTTCGCGGCGCATGGCCCTTTTCCTTGCCCGCGAAGTCACGGGGGACCTGCTACTGGCCCACAACTGCCTCTGCTCAGACTCAGGGAGATCGGACAACTCCGCGGCGCGCTCGACGCCGCTACTGCGCTGAGCTTCTCCAGCCCCGCGAGGGGCCTCATCGCCGGCAGGAACGGCAAGGGGGCATCGCGGGGCAAGGGCACGCCCACCTGCGTTGCCACGGCCTCGATGAACTGGTGCAGCTTGGCCCATCCCGCGCTCGCCAGGAACGTCTCCACCCCAGATGCATGTTCTTTGAGCTCGGCTTCGGGGCCCTCAATGTCCACCGCGGCCGCCCCAGGGACTGGCGTCTCAGTCGCAGTCTCAGTCGACAAGAGCTTCGCCGTGTCATCGAACTGCTCTTTGTAACCGATCAACCTGCAACTTTTTGGCCGCCAGCGACTGCTCTCGCTCCCCGATGGAAATGCACAGCTTCTCGAGTTACTCATTTTTCTCTGCCGAATCCTTCGACGTCTGCTCAAACGCCGGCTTCGCGTTGCCGAGGTCCTGCGCAGCGCGACGATGGGCCGTCGACGGCGGGCGAAGCTGCTTCTGCTGGTCGCGCAGTAATGCGAGCCGTTCTCCCCCAAGGTGCCCCGAATCCGCTTGAAATCGCCAACCTTCGTGAGCGACGCTTCGCGCTCCTGTATCTGCTGGGCCACCCTCGTACGTTGACCGCGCTCGGTGCTCGAATATGCGCCTTGCGCCTCCTCGCGAACTTGAGCCCAGCGAGCTTGCTTCCAGGGCACTCGTCGTAGTGGTGGGCTTTGAAAGAGGTGCGACCAGGGCGCCCAGCCTCGTCTCCAACGCTGCGAACTTACTTGCCAGGTTCCTGCTTCTCCCCTCCCTTGGGTCCTTCGTCAAGCCCTTTTGCCACCGTTGCCCTTGCCCACGCCCTTACCATCCTGCTCGAGCATATTTGGCGCCACCGTGCGCGCCGCCATTGCTCGAGACTTGCTGGGCGCGGGGGGGTTCTCCCACAAGCTCGCTTGATCCTCGACGCCCAATTGTGGAGACGACCACACACCGCAAAACCACTCTGGCTTCCGCGGCCCCAACACGACATCCGACTTCTCATCGCTTGCCATCCGCGGGCCGTTGAATCGCGAAACGAAAGACTGGGAGTTCAAAGCCCGCCTGCGCTGGCAGGCGGGGGGCGCGGGACTCCCAGCGAAATCGATGCCAGGCCTGAACAGCCTTACCTGCAGCGGACTAGCAGTATCAACGTGTTCCTTTGGTGGAACACAGCATATTGAGCCAAAATGGCTCCGGTGACAGGGGGGGGGATGAAGGAGGGGTGACGGGGTATGACAGTAGGAAGAGAAAAGGGACAGAGGAAGGAGAGGGGAGGGGGCACAGAAACAGGAACGGGATCGTGGGAACTCGCCTGCCACTGGGTGTTGATCACCTGCCGAAGGGCGAGGAGAGCGAGGGCGAGGAGGATGCGGGGGGGGGCAGGCTGGATGACGGTCATACTGCCAGCAGCAGAGGAGACGGCCTGCACCAACGCCAGGTTCGTGAAGCTGGACTCGCAGATGTCCTTCGCCGCCTTCTGGTGCTGCTCCGTGTGCTTCAGGTTGGGGTAATACCTGGCCCCCTCTCCCCTCCCCCCCCTTTCCCATGGGCGCTACAGAAAAGGGGGGGGGGCGATACATGCGCCTTTCTTCCCCCCCATGTATCGTCCCCCTCCCCCCATTACGCAGCGCGGGACCTCCGTGCCCCAGCGCACCTCACCGCCAGTTGCTGGGCTCAAATTAATTATGTGAGCTGGCTGACACACATGGCGACCCCCACACACAGAGAGAGCAAGCGAGAGAGAGAAGAGAGAGAGAGAGAGAGAGAAAAACAAAACAAAACAACAAACACACCCACACACATACACACACGAGCAACATAACAGAAAGGGTCCTACGCGAGATGGCATAGCATCCTTACGCTGGTGGCTCGCGCGGCCCGCCAGCGCGGCATGCCACATTGGAAACGAGGGCGCTTACGCGCGACCTTACGCGGGCAACTTACGCGCGAATGCCGGTTGTCTGCGTCGCCTACATGGCTCAAAACATGGTCCGCGATTTCCGAAAGTGCCCCAACAGAGATCTGGATGGCCAAAGCTGGCTCCTGGACGGCGGCCACGAAACTCCGAAGTGGCCCGAAGAAATCACAGAGGGGGTCCAAGCATTCAGAGAAAGACCCCCGAGACGCAACAATCTTCAATACCACTCCGGCTTCAATGTCCGTAGTAGATTCACAACAGTTTGACTTCAAATGGTTCCAAGATGCAATCCAAAGGCCTCCGAGAGGATCGAACACAATAGGCCAAAAAAAAGAGCTCCACAAGACGGACCATGAAGCCCGCAATGTGGCCCATGGGTTCCCCACTCCACTCCAAGACAGCGCAGAGCCGCCCCAACGCGGCCTCCAGATCCTTCCAAACGCCGCAAAGAATTTCCCAAACGGCCGACTCACACATTGGCGCCATGACTCTCCCGGAGGACCGCAGGGGCAGCTCCGCGCGCCAGGCCAGGAGGCGGCTGCGAGGTCCGCCCAGTTGAGGAAAGCAGGTAGCCAGACCGTTCATGGCACCAGCGGCCTTCAACGCTGGACCGCCTGCGCCACCGCCGCCGCCGCGCCGAGGTGGCGCGGACCTGTCGCACGCCAATTCCATCGGGCACGCGCCAACATGGATCAGGGATCCGTGAAGCTGGCGCGCGGGCGCCAGATCCACGGATCAGGGGAAGCATTTCCCAACATGTGAGCGACGAAACGAAAGGAGGAGGAGGAGGAGGAGGTGGAGGAGGGAGGAGGAGGGAAGAGAGAGGAGGGAGGGAGGAGGGAGGAGGAGGGGGGAGGGGGGAGGGGGGAGGGAGGAGGGAGGAGGGAGGAGGGAGGAGGGGTTCTTACACGAGATGGCGTACGTGGCGACCGTACGCGGTGGCTGACGCAGGCCGCCAGAACGGCACGTGGAGAAAGAGGGCGCCCATACGCGACCTGACGCGGGCAGCTTGCGCGCGGAGGCGGCCCCGTTTTCCTGCGCCGCCCACGCGAGGCCGGTGCCGCCTGCTGTGGCGACGCAGCGCACTCATCCTGCACGGACCCTGAAATCCGACGTCGCAAACAAACATGTAACAGCGTGAGAAATCACATCCAGAGCCCAAGACTCCATTTTGCTGCGCCATTTTCCGAGCATTTTCTTTGGGTGGAGGGCAAAGGGTGAAATCTGAAATGCCGTTTCTGCCAAAACATCGCCACCCGTCAACTTCCCTCCCCCTCTCCCCCGTCCTTTCCTGCTCTGCCTCCTGCACCACCGTTTCCGCCTCCACCCCCATCAGTGCCTCCGCCTCCGCCTGCACCTCCTCTCCAAAGCTGATGCCTATACGACCACCCTGCGGGTGATAAGGAGGTTGGGGGGGGAGGGGCCAGCAATGCGCAACAGTGGTGACTGTTGTTCTGACGATGCCAGTGGAGATCGTTGCGTTGCCGCTCGCTCTTGGGAGCCTTGGTGTCGAGTTGTCTACGTCACCTTTCGCTCTTGGGCGCCTTGGTACCATTCCCCCTTTCCCCCTGGAACCAACGAAATAATACATTATTTCGTTCATTTTGCAAGGGCTTGGGGGGCCGTTTGGGCGCGTCTTTTGGACCTCTTGGGGGCCTCTTGGGGGCCTCTTGGGGGGCTCTTGGGAGCCTTTCGGGGATGGCGCACGCTTGCTGCTTTTCCGATATCACTATCATTTTCACTACCGGTCTCATCGATCTAAATACCGATATCATTATCGATATCACTATCGATCTCAGCATGCGAAACCACGGGACACCGACGGAACACCGATGGGACACCGACGGGACACCATCGATCTCACTGTCGATCACACTATCCATCCCACTATCGATCCCACTATCGATCTCGCTATCGATCTCACTATCGATCTCGCTTTCGATCTCACGATTCATCTCACTATCGATTCCACTATCGATCTCGCTATCGATCCCACTTGATCGATATCACTATCGATCTCACTATCGATCTCACGATCGATCTCACTATCGATCTCTCACTATAGATCTCACTATCGATCTCACTATCGGTCTCATTATTGATCTCACTATCGATCTCACTATCGATCTCACTGTCGATCTCACCACGGGACAACGACGGGACACTAGCTGGACACCAGCGAGACACCAGCGGGACACCGGCGGGACGCCGCGCGCCACCGGTAACCATGCGGAGAACCTTTTGGTCCAATCGCGGCCCAGCCACGACGGGACACCGGCGGGACACCAGCGGGACACCAGCGGGACACCGCGCGCCACCAGTTGCCGGGCGGAGAACCTTTTGGTCCAGCCGCGGCCCAGCCACAGGAGAATTCCCTCTCCCCCGCCCGCGCAGCTTCGCCTCGCCCGCACGCACGGCACGAACACGAAACCGAAATCGATTTCCCGGTAGGGGGGCTCTCCGTTCCACTTCGATCTCACCCCCCAACCTCTGATTTTCACTCCTCTGCCTCCCTCTCGCCCCCGCCCCTTTCAACCCCCGCATCGTCATCATCCGCCCGCCCGCGCTAATCGCTAATGGCAGCGACCAGGTGACGCACCACTTTTCTGGGATCCACGTGCAATCGCCCCTTGACCACGCCCACGCCGTCGCCAGCACCTCAAGTAGGGTCGCCCTCTCTCGATCCAGGCCCCTGTCCCCAATGCCGCCAAGCTGGAGCACGATGGCCCCGCAAACGTGCGCATTATTTCTTCCGAAGCCCGCTCGGGGCTCCACTCGGGGCCACCCCCGCCGCCCTGCGATGGCCCCCCGAATCCCGACCCCCGCCGATTTTCCCACGCGGTTCCTGCCAAACGGCCAGAGGCGGTTTTAGAACAGCAAAACAAAGTCTAGAACGCAAAACGAAAGTCTAGAACCACAAAGCCACTTCTAGAACAGCAAAAGTAGTTCTAGAACGCAAAACCAATTTCTAGACTGCTGCATCGTATGAAGCGCAAGCAAACAAAGTTCTAGAACGGCCAAAACAATTCTAGATCGACGAAATGAATTCTAGAACGCAGAAACCGATTCTAGAATTCTGGAGTAACCTGCCGGGCACTAGTCGCATGCTGTTCCACCCGTCGGGTGCCTGCCGCATGCTCGTACACCTGCCGCGCGCCAGCCGCGTGCCCGTTCACCTGTCTGGCGCTAGTCGCGTGCCTGGGGGCCCAGAGAATCAGCCAGCCACCCTCGGCGACACGCAAGAGTAAGCCTGGGTAAGAGTGACCTTTGGTGCGCGGCTTTTTTGGAGTTCGCGGGGGGGCAAAACTTAAGCGCGCAAGACGCTTTTATCGCATCGCGCTCGGTGATCGGGGGGCCCCTACCAACGGTCACTCCAGCGGAGGGTCACTCTTACGTCTAGAGTCTAGTCGACACCCAACCAACCATCCATCCAACCATCCAGCCAAACACTCAATCCGCAAGTCAACTAACCAGCGAGCCAACCAACCAAAAGCGAACCACCGGGACAATCAGGACCCGGGCGCCGGCAACATACAGAAAAACAGTTCAGACAGTGTCAAGAGAGTTCGCGCCCGCCTGTCATGCGCAGAGGCGCTGAGCGTGGATTCGTCGAGGCACGAACCACCCACGAGTGACATCTGCGGTGCCGCAAAGCCTTGTTTGAAGGATAGCCGGGTGCGAGCCATCAGCGGTGCCTGATCACGTGCGGGCGCAATCGTGACGTCGTAGCAGAAGCCAGGCGATGCATATACACAGGCTGCTACGCAACACAAGCTTGATCCCTAAAGCCACCCAACCACAAGACGGATTGATTTTCGAGGTGCAAAAGCCCATGTGGATTTCACCCTAAGCCCTCCACCCTAAGCAAATGCTCAGATTTTTCGGGAGCGGCCAAAGAGGGGGGCGTCCAAGCGGGGTGGCGCATGAGCCCAGGGGGGGGGCAGGGCAAGGGACGTATGGAAATAAGAAGAGGCACCCTGACATCTGGGGAGATCTCATGGCCCCCGCCTCTTCCGAGCCGGATCGATCCGTGAGGGTCCGAGACAAGGCGAGCACGCCCGCCTCGAAACCGCTGAGACGCCAGGATCTCCGAGGACCCGCCGCCGATCCGCGCACCCCGGCCCGTGCCCGCGCTCCCAGCATCCCTGCTCCAAGGCTCCCGCCGGTGCTTCTCCCCGCCCTGGCTCCCCGGCTCCCCTGGCTCCCCGGCTCCCGCTCTTCCTCCTCGGGCCGGGCCCTTGCGCCCCCCCGCTGGCGCGCGACCCGCTGGGCTGCCCCCGGCACGGCGGCGAAACGCGACGACGACGACGCCGCCGCTCGGAGCAGGGCAGGTCGAGGCAACGGCAGCTCAAAGCTGGTCCTTGGAGGCCAACCGGGGCCCACGATCGTACCAGCTGTCCGAGCTGCGTCCAAGCGTGGCGACGAGCCGGCCCCCCGCGCAGGCCAACTGCCGTTGTCCCACCTCGCCCTCCTCTGAGACGCCTGGCGCCCAGCGCAGACCCCCGCCCAAGGCACTTGGGGTTCTGCACGAGGTCCCGGCAATAGATGACGGCGTGGGCCGCTGCTCCCAGAGGCTGGGCCACCCGTTCGGAAGAGAGAAGGCAGGGTCTGGCCGCAAGGGGCTTCAGACAGGGAGCGAACCCACTTGTGGACATCAGTTGAGCCTAGATGCGCGATGCGCGCCAGAACTACGCCCAACGATGCCCATGGAAAAACATGAGGAGCATCGAGACGCTGCCGAAACGGAAGTGGGCCTTATCCCTACGTTTTGAATAGGGGGCGGGGAGGGGACCATCATATTCTGACGATTCGCCAAACATGAAAACGGGCGCCTGCGCCCTCAAATCCAGGCCTTCGGGCTCTTACGGACCGATCCGGCCCGAGAAGTGCCGGGGGGAGATAGAGTCGAGGGCTCATGTCATGAGTACTTCGCAGCGGTGTCTTCTCTTCAAGAAGAACTGGCCCGGGGGGGAGGCGGGAGCGCACTTTGTAGAAAATATGGAGCAGGGCTTCGAACATCGAAAAGAGACAGAAACGCATAGGTACTATGAGATACGACGTATGATTGCCCGCGTAGGCCCCAAACAGTGGGATACTGCACTATGAATGCGTAAGCTATGTAGTGCAAGCTATGTAGTGCAAGCCATGTGGTACAATATTTGGTGAAATTTATGAGGTCCAAGCTATTATCTGTAAGCGAAGTGGTGTACGAAATGTGGTGTGCGCTATGTGATTTGAACTATGCGGTGCAAGCGACGTGATGCGAGGTATGTTGTGTAGGTTATGCGAAACAATACACACTACGTAATCATAGACCTGTATACATGCATGTGTAGGTGTGGAATGCACGCTGTGTGATGTAAGCTGTGTCGTACAAGCTATACTGCCCAAATTATGAAATGACAACTGTGCTGTGTAGTGGCAAACCCGACAAACCCAGCCAGTGCACGAGGCGCCCACGAGGCGCCAACGGGCGGGCCCCAGGCGAAGCCTCGGCACACCCACGCAGCGTACGAGGCACCCACGAGGCGCCCACCAACGCTCGCCCACGGGCGGGCACCACACGACACCTCGGCACACAAGCCCGACACGAAACGCCCACGAGGCGCCCACGGGCGCCCGCCAACGAGGTATCAACCAGTTGCCGTGGGGAACGGAAGTAAGAACTCTTGGGTGCACGAGCTCTTTAGGGAATATAGGGATATGAAGTAGTGAGCGGTGCATGTCGTAGTGCCACTTGCAGCGCGTGTGGTAATAGTCGTAGCAGGCTGTCTGCATCATTCAAGAGTGACTTGTAGCATCGATGGGTTCACGAGAACAACTGACAAGGAATACGCTCAGAACCAGTCGCTGTAGTCCTCAGGAGCGGCCGCAGAGTAAGATGAGGCGTGCGTGGAAAACCCTTCAAAAACACTAGGGCGCAAGCAAAACGCATGAATAATGGGACGACCGACAAAAATATTCGGTGCCATTCACGTGCCGGCCCCATTCAGGGGGTCGGATTGGGGTCATTGTGGAGAAGCGCTGCGAAACGTGGCATCCCGATTGATATAACCTCGACTCGCACATGTGTTCTGCGGACGCGCGACCACTACAAACAGTAACACGTGCGCTCATAAACCTGAGTCAAATGTACGATGCTGGCTCATGCACCACGGGGGTGTGCGCTTGGCCCACGCTCATATTCAAACGCCTGCCGCGCACGTCCAGAAGAGGGCTCTGTGGTGCCGCATGGTGACGGGCAGTCTGCTGGTTAGTAAGCATCCGCAGCTTTGAAGAGGTCGCCGTTCTTGAAGAGGTCGTTCCCGTCGACCTGCAAGACAGGATTTTGGAAAAAAACGGCCAAACCAAATACCAACGATAACGGGGCAGCCAACATACACTCCGCACGCGACGTCTCACTAAAGACAGAATGCAACGGTGTCAAGAATTTTCTGTTGCTGCACCTTCGGCTCATGCGAGCGACGGTCCTTAAGGAACAGCACGCAATGTCGATTCTACGAGTGCCTCAAACGCCCAGTTTGCCAGACACACATGCGACTTTGAAGAATACGGCACTGGCGAAGAAAACGAACCCGAACGTCCCAGAACCAGCTAGCGACGTGGGGCCAAAAGATTTCATTTCCACGCCGCGCTTTCTGGACCCGGGAAAGGTGGGATGATATGGTCGACCCCAACGCCCAAACAATGCATCGGCAAAACACATGTGCGCATGCAGAACTGCGGAGGAAAGGGGAGGAAAGGAGGAGGAAAGGAGGGACACCGGAACAGCCAGGGAATTGTGCAGCGCAGTCTTCGTCAGCGGCGAGGCGGCGAACTCCGATCCAGCGAGAAGCTAAAAAGGGGCACTAACTAGCGAATCGGCCGGCGGGCAAAGAGGGGGGGGGGGGGGGACGGCCGACAGGAAGAAGGGACGCTCAGACGTCGAAGAACTCGACGATGAGCAGCCGGGGGGGCAGCAACAGCCAGGCGCGCAGGGCCAGAGCGCGGTGGCCGGCCGTGGCAAACCACGGTCGCACGGGTGGCGAGAGGGCGGCTGCAAGCAGCTGGAGCTGGCGGGCGGGCGCAGCGGGACACCACGAATGGCAGAGGTACGGCGGCGGGCCAAGGAGTAGGCACAGCACTGAGCCGTGCGGAGGCAGGAGCAACGCAGCCAGATGGCTGGCAGTGTCAGGGGTATTGCAGCGTGGCCGCCCAAAAGCGCGCCAGGTGGCCAGGGGGCCAGGAGAGGTGGGGCAGGAGGCGGCGGGCGAAGCGTCCCACGCGGCGGGGCGGAACAGCAACGCAGCGGAAGGATGAGGCGCGGGGCTGCCAAAAGGAGGTGGCAACGCAGCCATATGGCTGGCAGTGACAGGGGCATGGCGGCGTGACCGCCCAAGGACGCGCCAGGTGGACATAGGGCAGAGAGGGGTGGGGTAAATGGCGGTGGCCGAAACGTCCCAGGCGCCCGCAAGCGGCAGTGCGGAACGGCATTCCAACGGGAGGAGGCAGCGCGGGGCTGCCGCGGAAGGAAGGGAGCACCGAAAGGTATGCAGAAACCGGGTAGCAACGCAGGGCGGCCCAATGGGCGGTCCAGCTTGGTGCAGCAGAGAAGCGCCGAAATGGTTTAGAGGACAGTGAGTGAGCGACGCGCGTCCCAAACGAGAGGTGCGTCGCGAGGGGGCGGCTTCGGGGAGCACCGAAAGGTGCAGAAACCGAGTAACGACGCTGGGCGGCCCAACGGGCGGTCCAGCGTGATGCAGCAGAGAAACGCTGAAATGGCGCAAGGGACAGTGAATGAGCGACGCGCGCCCCAAACAGGATGTACGTCGCGAGGGGCCGGCGGCGGGGAGCACCGAAAGGCGCAAATACCTTTCAACGACGATGGGCGACCCAGCGCGGCGCAACGGAAAAGCACCGAAATGGCGCAGGGGACAAAGCGTGAGCGACGCGCGTCCTGAACGGGAGGTACGTCGCAAGGAGGAGAGGCGAGGGAGGGCACCGAGGAGGTGCCAAGCCAGGTGCGGAGAGGCGCCCAGCCCAAAGGGCCACGCGCCTCATGGAGAGCGGTCAGTCGCGGCAGAAGAGTGAGGGAGCACCGAGAAGGTGCAAGGAAGAGTGAAGGGCGGCGTCGCCGGTCCCAATGGGAGGCACGACGCCATGGCGAGGGGGGAGGGAGGAGGGAGGAATGCCACAGATCGGCCATGAACTTTCGGCAAAAGTCCACGCAGGGAAGCGGTTTGCACCGCCCTTTGTCAATGCCCTTGTTGTCACGCTTGTCGCACGCGCGCTTCCAATTTTCGCCGAAGTAAGAACCAGCCTCGATCTGGCGACGCTTGACGACGGCACCCCGGCACTCTAGGCCGCCCTGGACGCGCATACGCTTAAACACAAGGCGGGGCCGTGGCCGGTGGCGCAACCTGTCGTCCAGGTCAAGCCAGGCTCAGTCAGCGTGGTCGTCGGGCCAGGCCGGGTCCCGCAAGCTGTCCGCGCGCCTGTCGATTTCGCGCCTGGCGCTGGCCGCGGCCTGCCTCGCCTCCTTCAACCTGTCGGGGTCGCTGCCGTGGCCATGTGCGGGGGCGCTGGTTGTCGGCCCGCTGGGCGCTGCGCCTGGTCTGGGTAGCGCTGGCAGCCGGAGCACGGTCGTCCTGGAGCACGCCGAATGCACGGCCAGTCTCGGTCCCGATGGGCGCGTCCCGCGTGATGGCCCACGCGCGATGCGCTGCGTCGGCCGCGCCCCAAGCGACCGCCCAGGCCTGCCGCACTCTGGCGCGGTTAGACCCCCTGGGCAGGGCGGGAGCGTCGGGATAGCGCACCTCTTCGACTGGGCCAGCCAGGGATCCTGGGTTAGTTGCGGGCGCGGGCCCTTCTCGCCTGGGCTGGTTGTCCACGCCAGTGGCACGGCGAGCTCGACGTCGACGATTGGCGCCTCCCCGCGCCTGGGCCCGAGCTTCGCGCACGTCGGGTAGGCGCTGTAGTGCCACTCCGACGCCTTGCGCTCCTGGCCCTTCGTGACCGCGGGCTCGAGCCACTCGTCCTCCGCGTTGAACGCCTCGCCGCGGCCCTCCCCTGGAGCCTCGGCGGTCCTCCTCGCCGCCTCGCGACAGTCTCCGCCTCGCATGGCCGAGAGCCCGCGGGGCCCGCCGCCGCCTCTCGCGGCAGCGCCACCCCCGCCGCCACGGCCGCGCGGGGCGCCGCGCCCGCCTGCGGCCCCGCGGCCGCCACCGCCGCCTCCGCGCGGGCGAGCGCCGCTCGCGGGGCGCGGCAGACTGCGGGAGCGCCCGCGGGGGCCGCCTGCGCCGCCAGCGTGGTGCGGCCCGCGGCTGGCCCGCGCGGCTCTGGCCCGGCCCTTGAACCGTCGCGCAGCCACGCGGGGCCCAGCGTGGCCCGCGCCTGCGGGCCGCCTGGCCACTGGCGCCGAAGGCCGTGAGGCGGGGCGCCGCATCGCAGCGGGGGGAGGCATCCTGCCTGGACTCCTCCGCGCCCAGCACGGGCTGGCCTCCCCCGCGCGGCGCAAATCGCACGCCCGCGCGCGCGCGCGAGCGGGTGGGCGCAACCACCCGCCCTGAGCCCCAAAAGGCTGCCAGGAGGTCGGAATGACCAGGAGCTCGCACTAATAAACGAGGCCGAATATCTTGGCAGAAATCATGTGCGCATGCAGGACAGCGGAGGAAAGGACGAGGAAAGGAGGAGAAGGATGGGAGGGAGAACGGAACAGCCGGGAAAAATGGTGCGCAACACAAATATCAGTTCTTCAGGCTGGTCAGGGTCAGGCGCTGGGGCATGTGCAACACAGGCGTGGAGAGAGACGGCCCGCACAGTGCAACTCACTGGGATGGTGAGCACCATGCGCTTGGGCTGTTTGGGGCATGATGAACAGAGGGCAGGCAAGTCGGTAGCTGCAGCAGGCAAGCCTGAGACGACCAAGGCGTGAAGAGCAACGCACCAGTCGGGCTGGGCGAAAGGGGGGGGGGATAGCAAAAGGGGCGGGATAATCAGCTCACGAAGCTGATTTTCCTGGCGCCTCCTAGCGCTGCATGCGGCCATGTATCCTAGTGGATGCCACGACAATGGACACCCTAACAGTCCTATCGTTGAGTTTGAAATGTGTGAAATGTAGGAGAATGTTCTACACAGGTTTTAAACATGTCTGCGCATGTTTAACACATGTTTCAGACATCTGGAAATTATTTGGCAACATGCTTCCCCTCCATTGATCGTCCTCCACAAATTTATCGAGGAATGAGCCCCTCAGTGGGGCCGAAACCAGCTGCATGCAGCAGACTTCGTACCCCCCCTTTCCCTTTCTCCCCCCCTTTTGGTCCGGCCCGAACCAGGCGCCTCGGGCGTGCGAGACACTGGAGCGGAGGCATGGCCCGTACAGACTGCCACACTGGGACCGTAGGGATCTGGCGGGCAGATACAGGAAGCAAGAAGGCGCTGAAGTAGATTTGGTTTCCGCCCCGCCCCCTAGAGAGGAAGGAACAACGAATACCTCTCGATGGTCGAACTAAACAGGCGCCCAGAGTAGATTGGACTCTGGGAATCCAGGAATGATTGCTTTCGGTGGCGATGTGTCTGTAGGACCAACATGTGCGAGATGCTGCGAGAAATAAGTGCGCGAAGAGGGCAAACCGCTTGACGGACGAGACGAGAATAGGGAGGGGAAAACGGGAGGACGCGACGCAAGATACGATGGGGCAGGATGGGGAGCATGATGAGGAAGAGGACGGCTTGATACAAAAAGAGGGCGAGGACCGTGCAGAAAAGCAGAAACCTAACATGGGAGGTGTGGTCAGGATATTGAGGGATGAAGGGCGGTCCAGAAACGGCGTGCGCCACAAATACGACGGGAAGTCTTGGTGACCAGTATTCACTCGTCGGCAGGACGGGGGGGCGAGCTGCTTGAGAGAGGTCGTCGAGTGGAGACTGTTGGCTCGGCGGGGCAAAGACACAGGCGCTCAACTGCTCGCACCTTCCAGACAAACGAGCGGTCCAGTTTCTCGTCAGCGCTCATGCCCTTCTTCTCTTTCTCGATCCGGTCGATCTCCTCGACACGCGCATACTGGTCTGGCACCGCCGTTGTCGTCGCCGTCGTCGACGTTTTGTCGCCGTCGTCGACACCGTCTTCGTCATCGCATCCCCCTTCCCCAACCGACATTGCCTCTCTCCCTCCTGTGTCCTCCCTCCCCCATTCTCCCCTCACGCCTCTCCTCCCCCTGCCTGCTCCCTCCTCTTCCTCCTGATCCTCCTCGTCAACTTGACCCTCATCCCCATCCCCCATTGTCGTCGTCATTGCTGTCGTCGCCCAGTTTCTGTTTGGAAGGCGAGTGCGATCCATGCACAAGGCCAAATGCCGTCGTCGTCCTCCTCCTCCTCCTCGTTCAATTCCGACTCCAATTCTAGCTGCTCATCCTGCTCCTCTTCATCCCTCTCATTCTCCGCATCCCCTTCCCGTTCGTCGACCCCACGTCCTCTGTGTCCCCCTTCCCCACTGACCCCTCTTCCGTTCCCCCCCGTTCTCTATGTGTGCTGATGGAAAGCCGAGGTCGTTGCAGAACGCTCCCAACTTGCTGGCTAACGCCAGACGCCTGCAGCCATCGTTGCCCATTAGGGATCCTTTTGGACACCAGATAACCTAGGTCGCCTGACTTCCCGCTTCGCGAGGCGCGGCTATCTTCACTCCGAGCGCCGCGCCACCCCCTGGAGACAACAGCTATCCAGCTCAGGTCGCGAGGCGCGGTTATCTTACCGCCAGTGCGGGTGGCCCAAGCTAACCGACGCAAATGTTGCAAGCAGAAGGGTGGCGTGCGACGGCAGTGCCTGGCGAGCGCCCAGTGCAGTCCGATCAGTAGAGAAAAGGTGTAGACAGGGTTGGACCTAACTGTTGTTCTTCGTTTTGGTGTCCTTTTGTTTCTTGTTTTTCTCCACCTGTTTTCCTGTACCTCCCTGCCAAGACGAAAAGACAAAACACGGCCGAGGCCCAGCACAACAGCGTTCAGGTCCAGCCCTGGATGTAGAGACGTGACACGAGGAGGCGGCTGACACGCGTCGGGCTTCGGCCAGCCCCCCTCCCCAGAAAGGGGGACACGCAAAAACGCGACCCGAGACCCGAACCAGGCGTGCCCTCCGGGGCGCGGCCTGCCGATCGCTGAATGCGATGCGACGGACGCGGCGAGCGTGCTTTGTTGGGCTTGTTTTCCACCACCACCACCATCAGTTCGAGGGGAAGGAGGAGGAGGACGAGCAGGAGGACGAGGACGAGGAGGAGTTGGAGGACCCCCTGCCCCTCTAACTTATGGTGATGGTGGTGGTGGTGGAAAACGGGCCCATGATGCTTGGCTTTGGCGCCCCATGCGCCCCCCCCGAGCGCCGCGCAGCGGCAATTCAATTTCTCTGGCGAGAAGTCACCCCGACATGCAGCCGACTGGAGCCGGAAGCGAACACAAGGCTGGCCCTGCATCTGCTGAAGAAGGCGCCCAAACAAGCTCAGGGAAGTGAGCTGCCAGAGAACATCCAGGTCGCCCAACTCTGCGCATGCCGCCACCATCGATGCTCAAGGCATGGTCATCCTCGCGCCCTCGCGGCGCCACATTACATAAACACAGCTCTCCCGCCTGGGCCGCGACGCGCGAATCGCGATCGTCTTCGCATCCCGGGGGTGACCTGCCTTCGTACATACGTTGACAATGCTCCGCAAATTACGAGACCCAGGACTCGACGTGGAGTTACACACTTCCCGCAGAAGGCGAGTAGAGGTGTGCTCGGTTCGAATATCCCGCGGGCGCTGCCGGCAGCCTCGCTGGACTCGTCGAGAGCGGCTCTTGCCTTCTGGATGCCACGACAATGGACACCCCAACAGTCCTATCATTGAATTTAAAATGTGTATAAAATGTCGGAAAGTGTTCTAAACATGTTTTGTTTTACATGTTTAAAACATGTTTAACACATGTTTAAGACATCTGGGAAGTGTTTGGCAACATTCTTCCTCTCCATTGATCGTCCTCCACAACTCTTGCCGCAGGCTGCGCGGAGGCCGAACTATTATTTTGAGAAATGGGGCCACGCGGCGGCTGATCGGACACTGCCTGCGCAGTCACGAGGCGCGTCAAGGCAGGACTCCTCTGGGCCCGACTCCGTGCTCCTCCCAAGGGAGGGGAGCGTCCGCATCCTCCCCAGGGGAGAAGGGCAGCGGGACGAGGAGGAGGGGGGCGAGGAGGGGACGGAGGCGGAGGCGAGGAACAGGGAGGGGAGGGAGGAGGGGAGAGAAAGAGCAAACGAGAGACGACGCTATACAGCGACGAGACGTCGCTGGCGACGGCCTCGACGCCGACGCTCAGGGGACGTCAACCATCAACCGCACTGATTCCGACCATATCCAAACTGGAACCAGGATCGGCACATACCCTTTACTGGCTTGGTCAAAGAGGCATGGCACGCCGAACCCCCTGGCGGGGTTCGGTTCCTCCCCCCCCCTCGTGTGGCGGTGGCAACACTTCCCTGCGCTCGGCCGCGCAAGATGTGCCGTGCTTCTGGGGGAAAGCCTCGGCTCAGGATCGGCCTGGCCAGGGCCTGCCAGGTGGATAGCCGGCATCCCCCAAGACTTGACGGCGCGCACAAGACGGTGGCGCGGGGGGGCCCGCCGCGCCGGCTTTGTAGAAGGCAGGGCCCTGCTTACAACGGCAAGCTTCTAAGAAGGCTTCTTAATTCTTACAAGCCAGGAGGGCTCCCGAGAGGCCCCCTGCCTGCTTAGAAGATCCCCCGCCCTCTTCGAAGGCCGCCCCCCTTACGCCACCCCCTGGTGCGCGCCGCCAGAAGACGCCGACGCCGACCAGACGGACCGTGCACCGTCGCGTCCTCGTCGGTCTGGTCCTTGCCGCTCGCGGGAATCTCTGGGTCGCCGTCGGCGCCGTCGCCGCCGGGGTCGGCGTCCTCAGGGCGGCAGGCAAGACCTGACGCTTGTTAGTATCTACTGTTCCAGCCCGGCCCCTGCGAGGGACTGATCTGAATGAGGAGGCCCGAACGGTCTTACTCTCTCCCTGCGCGCGTGTGGCTGGATGGCGGGGGCTACACATGGGGGCAGCACACGCGGGCTGCACATGGGGGTACTTGGGGGCTGCACACGGGTGCTGCACTTGGGGACACTCGTATCCACACCTGCAGAGTGCTACGCATGTCCACTCACGCAATTTTCCTAGAGCTCAACCATGTGATGCGATGCGACGCGATGCGACCACCGTTGCGGACAGCGTCCAAGCCTACTCAAACCCTAGAACCATCGAAACTTGGACCAGGCCGGGATACTGCACCCAGGGAAGGGGTCGAGACCTATGGGGCTCACGGATTGACCAAACAGCAACCCTTCGGATGCATCGGAATCGTCCTGTCAAGTTGGGTCCTCCTTTCTCCCCGTTGCGCCGCCGCCGAGCTCATTTTCCGAGCGCGCGCCTCTGCGGGCGAACTCTGCGAGGAACGTCCTCAGGCCGACGCCAGTGCTGCGCTCCGCCAAAAGAAAAGTCCCTGAACCTGAGGCTCCATTGCCCATGCGGTTCGCTCTTGCCTGGCGCCAATTCAGAATGCCTGGAAGCGCCTGGGAGCGCTTGGGAGCGTTTGGGAGCGCTCGGGAGCGCCTGGGAACGCCTAAGAAGCGCCTGGGAGCGCTTGGGGGCGCCTGGGGGCGCCTGGGATCGCAGGGAAGCGCTTGGGAGCGCCGGGGAGCGCCTGGGAGCGCCAAGGAGCGCTCGGGAGCGCTTGGACGCGCCCAGGGACGCTTGGGAACGTTCGGAAATGCTTGGGAGCGCCAGGGAGCGCTGGAGAGCGCCTGGGAACACCTGGCAGCGCATGGGAGCGCCGGGGAGCGTTTGGGAGCGCCTGGATGCGCCCCGTTCCTTTGGCAAAAATGAGCCCCGGCTTACCCTGGGCTCCAAAAAAGGAGAGGTAGCTTCGAAGCCCCTCTCCCTTTCCAACACCAACAATGGAGGCGGGTGGTCCGACGCCCCCCCACGCCCCCCCCCTTGGCAAAAAAACCCAAGCTTACCTCGGGCGCCGGAAAAGGAGAGACGGGGGGGGTAACTTCGCCCCCCCTTTCTATCACCAAAAAGGGAAAGGGATGGGGGGTAAGGATGATAAAACCGTGTGTGTGTGTACCACCTCCGCTTTGGGCCTTTTTACTTTTTTTGTACTTGTTTTTTCTTGTTTGATTCTTGTTTGTTGATACTTGATTGACTTCTTCTGTAACAAACTACAATTTGATTTCTTTTGTGGTACGCTACAAACTGAGTCCTCCTGTGGCGTATTACAAAAGGAATCCTTTCGTCGTGACTTACATTTGTTTTCCTTTTGTGGCGGATTACAAAAAGATTCCTTTGGTGGACGATTGCAAAGGGATTCCTTTTGTGGAGGATTAGAAATTGATTTCCTTTTTGTGGCAAGCCCAGCTGGTAGTGACCCAGGACCCGGAAGAGAAAAAAACTCCAAAAACATTGAAGATTGTAGAACATATACGGCCCCCAATCGTTTTAAAAAGGTTTGGTGCCAAACGTATATATATATATATATATAAACACACAACATTTCCCCTTCCGTGGGAGCCCAAACCATATAAAACACAATGTCTTCATACATCAGGTATCCAACATGTTGTGTTTTTATATGGTGCGGGCTCTCCAAAAGTTGGAAATGCTGTGCTTATACATATACATATACATATATATATATATATATATATATACATATGTATGTATATATATATTCTTGGCACCAAACCTTACAAAACGATTGAGAGTTGTATAACTTCCTTGATATTCCATGATTGATTTCAAACTTGTTTGGTTGTTGTTTCTTTTATCTTGTGGGACATGGGTCGCTACCAGCTGGGCTTGCTACAAAAGCGATCAATTAGTAATTCGCCACAGAAGGAGTCGATTTGAAATCCCCCACAATAGGAATCCATTCGTAAGCAACCACAAAAGGAATCTCATTGTAATCCTCCGCGAAAGAAACCCATTTGTAATCCACCACAAAAGGAATCAATGTGTAATCCGCCGCAAAAAGAATCATTTTGTAATCCTCCACAAAAGAAAACAATTTGTAATCCGCCACGCAAGGAATCCATGTGTAATCCACCACAAAAGGAATCCCTTTGTAATCCACCACGAGAGCAATCAATTTGCAACCCGCCACAGAAGGAATCCATTTGAAATCGATTACAAAAAAAATCCTTGATACGGAGCCGCAATCGAACAATTTAGATATTTCGAACAGTGGAGCATTGCTAACGCTCACCCCTGCTCACGACAGCTTTTTGAGACTACGAAAAAAGGAAATTCTGTGCACTGTTTGCAAACATGTGGGCGGGCCGGAGCACGCAAATATGAGCTTCCGGATCGCTTAGCGCAGAACATCGTTTCTGCATGTGTAAGTTTCAATGCTACGTTTCGCACTTTTCAAATGCATGCGTTTCTTCAAAATCTGGGGGGGGGGGAATTTTGGGGTGTTTTTTTGGGTTGCCTTACGGATGCCTTGCGGGTGCGTTGGCAATGATATCCGTGGGCCCCTTGAAGCCACGTGGTTTCCATAGTCGCACGTGTCAATAGCACGTGCAGCACTTGTCAAGCATATGTTTTTTTTTTGCAAATTGATGTGGGCGATTTGCGCGTGCCTTTCGGGTGCATAACGGGTGATTCGCGGGTGCTTTAGCAACGATATCCTTGGGCCGCTTGAATTCCAGTTGCTTTTTTTGTCGCACATTTCAATAGCACGTGTAGCATTTTTTCAAGAATCTGCTTTTTCCTTGCAAATTGGTGTGGGCGGTGTGCGACTGCCTTTCGGGTGCCTTTTGGGCGCATGGCGGGCGCTTTGCGGGTGCCTTAGCAATGATATCCTTGGGCCGCTTGTAGCCAAGTTGTTGTCATAGAAGCAACTCCAGTAGCACGCGCACCAGTTGTCAAGAAGGTTTTGTCTTGCAAAATGGCGTGGGCGATTTGCGAGTGCCTTTCGGGTGCCTTACGGGTGCGTCGCGGACGCCTTGGCGATGACATCCTTGGGTCATTTGGGCAAAGCGTTGTGTTTCGTAGCCGCAAGTTCCAATGGCACATGCAGCACTTTTCGAGGATACATGTGTTCTCGGTATTTGGTGTGGACGGTTCGCAGGTGCTTTCGGGGTGTCTTTCGGATGATTTGTGGGTGGCTTGGACTGTACTTGCTTCGCGGGTGCTTTATCGGTCTTGCGTTTTACATATCAGCTGTACACTCATGAGGGTCGCCTCGGGCCTCTGGAAGCATCGCGAGGCCGCGGTTGGACCAGCCTCGAACTCCTGCTTCGAACGCGTTCCACAAGCAGGAGCAACAGGATAATAAACAGGAGGAGAAGGAAAAGAGGGAGAAGGGGGAAGAGGGAGGAGGGAGGAGGAGGAGGAGGAGGAGGCGCAATGCAATGCACCGCGCGCAATGCATGCCAGGGACCAGACGCGACGCAATGCATTGATCGTGTGCAAAATTGCCACGGTGAGCAACATCTTCGGCGATTACGCGCGCATTGCATTCCCTGGCATGAACATGCGGGATCATGAGGCCTTGCTTTCGTTCTGTCAGAACCTACTCGCCTGCGACGCAGATGTCAAACCAAAACATCGCATCAAGATGAAGGCTAAAACACCGCGTCGTCGAATCTGAATTGCCGCCGAGCCCAACGCGCTTTCGCAAGCACTGAGCATGCGTTCAAATGAGAAGCATTTCGCAGGACACGGTCACATGTGCAATAGCTGCTCCGTTTCTCATATTGTCATCATCGCAACAACGTCATCGCCCCATATCAATGACTTCGGTGTACGGATCGTTGTTCATCATTTGCCAAATCGGTGGGATGTTGGGAACCTGGTCGCGATTCCCTGAGATCGTACCCTCTGGTACTACGAAAACACAGATGTACACTCACGCGCGGTTTTATCAACTCCGCGGGGATGGGGGGGGGGTCTGAAGCCCCCCCCCCTTAGCACGGACGGGGGGGTAGCTTCACGCTGGGCCCCAACTGTTTGTCCTTAGTCGTCGCCGCGCGCGCGCGCTTTCATGTGGTTTCTGGGCGCTCGATTGAATTTATCATGGAGCCTACGGTGTTTGAAGGATGTCCGTATAAGCGCGCGACGACGCGCGCGCGTGCAATTCGCCCCACCTGTTGCAACGGGTTTCTGCGACAACACACGCGCAAAGGCGTTCGAACGCTTTCGACATGCACGCGAGAGAAGCACATTTGGTAGCATTTTGCGAACAGGTTGAACACATGTGCTTTTTGAAGAATTAGGAGAACCGCGCGCGCCAGTTGTTCTTGAACATCAGTGTTGCGAAACCATGTGTTATTATCTGCTTTCGGAACACTCGATTGTTGCACCCGTGCGACACGTAACATTGATGAAAGAGATCGGCATGCGAGCGACGACGCGCACATGCGCATGTTGTCCCATATGCTGCAATGGATTCTTGAAACACGCACAGTTGCTCTGCAGAAGATAAGGGGAAACTGTTACCTGTTTAGCTGGGCTAATACAGATGGTACTTAGGATGTGCGCAGGGGCAGGATAGCATGTGAAATTGTGATACGAAAAGATGAGCGGTTAAGTCGGGGGGGGTAGATCCTATTACCAATGTAGATAAGAAAATGTATGCGGTGCAATCGTTGTGGTGCACATTGTGCGGCGCAATCTACGTGGTGCAATCTACGCGGCGCAATGTTTGTACGCAAACTAAGGCGACGAACACGCGGCGACGGAACGGAGACGGCGACAACGTAGCCGCCAGACCGCCAAAACGACCCAGACGACGGGCGGCGACGAGGCGGCGACGGGGCGGAGACGGCGACAACATATCCGCCAAACCGCCACAGAAGCCCAGACGACTGGCGGCGACGGGGCGGCGATGGCGACAACATAACCACCAGATCGCCACAACAACCCAGACGACGGGCGGCGATAAGGCAACGACGGGGCGGCGACGGCGACAGCATAGCCGCCAGACCGCCACACAGGCCCAGACGACTAGCGTCAGCGAGGCGGCGACGGGGCGGCGACGGCGATAGCATTGCCGCCAGACTGCCACACCAGCTAATTTCGGTAGAACAGAAGTAAGGACCCTCAAGTGCAAGCACTGACTGTGGAATGATGACGGACAGGCTCCCACAGCCCTGCCCAGCAGATAGCACCCTTCCTCGAGACTTGCCGAACAACAGACTCGGCGTCCTGCTATGTGCAGTTGGCGGAATTTCCACGACGACCTCCACGACCCAGGTGAACAGCAGACTCGGCATTCCTGCTCGGCTGTCCTGCCGCGGCGACCTTCAGATAATGTCTCCTCGGGCGCCCTCTGACTGGAATTTCGTGGCTGATCCAGCCGCGGCCCAAGAAAGCCCAGGAAGGTCCGAGAACCTCAGTCCCCGATCCTCGACGAAGACGACGGCCCAATCCTGTATACATTCTGCCCCCAGACCACTTGCGAGTTTCATCCTGGGTAGTCTCTTACCCTGGATTGATTTGATGACTCCACAAATGCAAAACAACGGGCATCCGGACGCCGAACGTGGCGAAAAGCAGCTCAAACCACGAACCTAGCCATATGTACGCAACCACTTGCCACAGGCAGGGAGGTGGCTCAATGGTGAAGGTGACCGCGAGTAGAACTCTGCACACAAACGCCTGAGGCCATCACGGCTCAGGGAATGCCCTTCACAACTGGCACAGAGACGCTCAGGGCGGCATCCGAGCCATCGGACCTCGACGCTCGATTTCTGACACACGCCGAGAAGTCTTTTTTGCAATCCGCGGCCCCAGAGGTCCCGACCCCTTCCCCGAGGGCAGCTTTAGAGGCCTCCTCGATGGGGTCCGAGTACAAGGGGTCGGAGGATCGCGCCGCCTCGCCGATGCATCGGCGATGAACTGGCGATGTCGGCGGTGCATCGGCGACGTTGGCGTGGAGAACATGATGCCCGAAATCGAGCCGCATCGCCGATGCATCGCCGATGCATCGGCGATGCGGCGCGATCCTCCGACCCCATCTGGGAGGCCTGAAAGGTTTTCGCCCCGGATCCGTTTCTGATGGCACCCGGGCCCGACCACGGACCCCAGAGGCCAAGATCGATGGGGCAGGCAGGGATTGGAGAACACGCACCACCACCACAGAGCCGAGCATCCGGAAGGACGTGTGGGCAGAAGAACGTGCGACTGGCAACCCTTCGAGAACTGCAAAGTGAGAATCGGAAACAAATAGCGCCTCACGACTGCGAAGCAGGAAGGGGAGCGCCCGACTGTGAAGCAGAGGATGGGGCGCCCGACTGTGAAGCACAAGGATGGGGTTGGAAAGAGAGCATGCCGTTGAGAACATCGAGCTCGACATCGAGCCGCATCGCCGATGCGCGGACGATGCGGCGCGATCCTTCGACCCCGTCTACTCGGATCCCATCCAGAAGGTCTAGAACCAGCGGTGGACAAACTTCCTTTTAGCAAAGCACCCTTTTTAGCAAAAACGCCCCAGGACCGAAACCGACGGACCTGGACCCGCAGAAATGACGGCCGCGATGCCCTCTCGCGAACCGAAGACGGCCAATTCGCTCATCGACGTGTCAGGGTAGGAGGTTGATCAACCTCCGATCCACTCGGACCCCATCCAGACGGCCTAGAAACACGGGCCCCGGAGTCCGAATCCGAGGAAGCACGCAGGGGTTGGAAACACATGCCGTCGGATATCTTGGACCCTCGACAAGTGTAGGACGGCGGTGGCAAGCCTCGGCCTCCGCTTTGGCAGCCGCGCCAACGGGGTCGCCGCGCTCCACCTCCTCGATGAGGACGTCTCCGTCGCCGTCGTCCTCGGCGGCGGCTTTCTCCCCGCTCTGGCAAGGCGGATGAGTTTGTTCATTTTCCGTCGCCCTCCACAACGGCACCATCTGCTTTCGGCGCTCCCTCTGGCGCGGGCACCACGACGGGCGGACACCGAAATTCGAAGGACCGGACCCACACACCGTGAGCCGAAAGGAAAACGTAACTCTTATTCCGCGCGCCACCCCTCGAGCTTGCCATGGGGCGCCAGGCCCGCCCGGCACAGACCGAGAGCAGGGGGGGAGGCGGAATGGCGAGAGGCACAGAAGCGAAACGAGGAGGGAAGAGAGGGAGGCGGACAGCACGAGGGAGGAAGAGGCGGAGGAGGAGAAGACGGATGTCAATGAAAACGCGGATCGCCGATGATGATGATGATGCTGATGGTGATGATGCTGATGATGATGATGTTGGCGGTAATGATGATGATGATGATGATGATGATGATGATGATGCTGATGATGATGATGTTGATTCTTGTTTAACCGAATCGGGGCTCTAGGGGATGGGTAACTTGGGGTGAGCACGGGGGCCATCTGCCCGCTACCGCGGAGCACTACGCACTCAGTGCAGGGGCGGCTGTCGCCCAGCACAAAGCGATCTGCGGGGCGCGCCGCCGCAGACCCTGATGCCAAAGAGACCCTGAACAGCCGAGGCCGAGCGGGGAGGACGGGGGGACGGAGGGCGGCGGGGCAACCCACACGGGGCAGGAGGAGAAACAGCGGTTGTTTAGGACGCCAGCCTCACTCAGAACACGGCGAGACGACGTAAATCGATGTTTTAACGAACTGGTTGATCTTTGCGCTGTAACCCATGAAGAGAAACATGATACCAATGACCACCATCTCTAAGTCCATTTCGCCGTAGACTATACACCAAGAGCTATCGTGATAGCCGAAAAATGAACGTCAGGTACTCAATCCACAAAGTAGGTGTGAACGTCAGCAATTCATCAGTCAACCTCCCCAAAGGCGCGCAAGGCACCAAGCCTAGAACATTAACCCTATGGGACCGATGGGGGGTGGACAGGTACGTCTTTGGAAGTAGTTAAGCGAGTTTCGCCTCCATCCACTCGGTCCATTTTCCTCCTCCATGTACCCTGCGGGGGCCGGTCCGGCAGATGACGGCCTCCGCATTGGCGCAGCCCGTCGAATAGTCCGAAGCGCCTGCCTCCGAGCGTCTGCACTGCCGACACGATCTTCATCTGGTCCTCCTGTGCCGTCTTCTGCAGGCGGCATACGCGGACCAGTTGTTCCACGTCTTCGGCCTTCTCGCAGCAGTTGATGTCCTGTGCCCGGCTCTGAATCTTCTTCACATTGTCGCCGCCGCGCGCTTTGATGGTGGCCGCCGCCTCGACCAGCGCCGCGAACAACAGCGCGTGAGGTGGGCCGAGGGGCTCGGTCATGGAGTTAGTTTTCTTCGTCTTCTTCTCTTTGCGGTGCTCCTCCACTCGCTGGACGAACTGCTCCTGCTCCTCCTGAAGTACTTGAACGAGCTTGTGACTCTTCGGGGAGATGAGCGATTCCAGCATGATGCCCTCCATCATTCAAACCTTCAACGTGTTGCTCAGCTTTTGTTTGAGTATCAACAATAAGAGTTGTCTCAGCCCTTTGTCTTTGACCTGGATCACCTTCGGTGTCTTCTGCTCTCCGTTGTTGCGCCTCTTGCTGCCGCGTCGTGTTGTCCGTGGTGCCGCCGCTGCCGCTCCTGGTGGGGCTCCTCGTTTGTCTCCGACCACGGCGGCGCCACCATTCCCAGACGCTGACGAGGATGCCTGCGGGCGCCACGCTGGCCTCATCAGTAGCTGTTGCCGATGAGAACACTGCCGCGCGAGGCCGAGGAGGGGCACGCGCTGAAGACGCCCTCGGCGAAGAAATTGACGGGCGCGCGCCCAGCTTAGGCCGGACAGCAACTTGGCGAAGCTCGCGGACGATCCACGGCCGTGCCAAGAAATGTACGGGTATATATGTGTACGAAGATGGGTACGCAGAGCCTCAGTAGAGCCAAATGCTCACGGAGACGACGACGGAAATGATGGTTTCGCTGGAGGCTGAGCTCGGCTCGGTGTAGTTTTGCTTCGGAGTCGTGTACGTGTCGGTGCTGATTTCGGTCTTGCTGCCAGCTTAGGTTGAACTTGAGCTGCTTGCTGCGGTACTGGTCTAGCTGCATTGGGTGTGGCTGATGGTGCTGATGAAATATAAGTGACTGCCATTTGAGATGGCGCTGAAAATAATGGTGGTGAGATACTTGCTGCTGCTGATGATGAGCGTTGGGTGGCTGTTCAGCTTGCTGCAGGCTGGCTCGCTCTTGTAGGTGCTGCTTGTTCCACTTCCCCGAGGACCCCATGGGGAGAGGGAGGTAGGTTAGGTACTTCTTTGCAGATCGAACACCCAAGGCAGTCGGGAGGCCTGTACTGCCACAACTGCGCCGTGCTCTGGCGCTCACAGCGACGGGCGGTCCACCCGCGAAGAAAGTGACGTGCACAATGATCGCGACTACGAAATACAGTGTTGCATATCACGCATGTGTTGTCCACGGCCAACAGACTGAGTACACTGCGCATCTGATGGCTAGGCTCCTTGCTGTGAGTCTGATGAGCACGTAGCGCAGCCAGAGTAGTGAAAGTCCGATCACATTTCGATATGTCCTTCATGATGATACTGATGATGCTGTTGCTGCTGCTGCTGATGATGATGATGGTGGTGATGATGAGGGGGAGGGGGAGGAGGAGGAGGAGGAGGAGGAGGAGGAGGAGGAGAGGAGGAGAAGGAGGAGGAGGAGGAGGAGGGGGAGAGGAGGAGGGGAGGAGGAGGAGGAGGAGGAGGAAGTAGAAGGAGGAGGAGGAACTTTTCCCTCGTTCGCTCGCTCCTCCGACTCCTCCTCTCTCGCTCCTCCTCCACCTCCCCCTCCCTCGCTCCTCCTCCTTCTCCTTCGTCGCCCCCCCCCCCCCCTGCCCAGCCGAAACAACATAACTTGCTCCGCGCCAGGGGCTGCCCACGGCCGCCCTGGGACGGCCGAGCGCCCTGGGCTACCGACGGGCCGCCGAGCGTGCAGCTCTCTGGTGGGCCAGCCCGGGACCGATACCGCTACGCACTGGACCTCTCCAGAGGCGCGTTCTGACCAGCGACGGATTTCCAGGCGAATCCAGCCGTGGGAACGAGGGAAGGGTAATCACAGCCAACCCGCATAATAAGGATGCGCGGTAATGATGCAAGGGCCGTAGCGGGCCGTGCCAACGTTTTTCGAACGAGGTTGGCCAGCGAAAGCTGTCAAGGATGGGCCGATGGGCTGAAGCAGGCTGGAACCTCCTACATCCCAGGCCCCCGACCGAGGGCTCGCCCTCTGTGGGGACCCCCCGGAGGCCGCCCCGAGGCCGCCCCGAGGCGCCTGCTCCGCCACGCCCTCCGCCGCCGCCGCCTCCGCCATGGCCGCCGCTGCCGCCGCGGAGGCGCGGGCGCTGCGGCGGGCCGCCCCGCGCGCCAGGGGCCGGCGCGCGGGCACCGAGGCGGCCTGTCGTGGAGGGATCCAGGGATCTATCTTGGCGGCGCGCAGAAGGGGGGCAGGGGGAGGGGGGAAGGCTTCTTAGAAACACCCTGCTTCTTAGAAGACCTCGGCCTTACGTCTATAGAGAAGGCCCGCGCTTTCTACTAAGCAGGGGTGCTTCTAAGAAGCCTTCCCCCCTCCCCCTACCCCCCTCTGCGAGTTGCCGACTATCTGAGTATCGTTTATCCGATCCACATCCCCAGCGGCGTGGCCTGGGCCCCACTGGCCGATTTGCCCCCCTGGATGGGGATCCAGGCCGTCCCCTGCGGGTTTCGAGGGGCGCATCCCCAACCAGGGGGTAATTTGGTGGGGGCCTCGAAAGGGATCGGTGAAACAATACCGAGATCCGGCCTGTCGTGGATGGATCCAGGATCTATCGAGGATCGAGGCACGGGTGGGATCAAGGGTGGATCGCGGCTCGACGGACGGGGGCGGCGGTGGCGGTTCGCCGGTCTCTAGAGCCACCCGCTTCCACTCATGCGCCGAACGTCCGTCGTTCTGAATCGAACGTGGGGCCAGCTTGAGTCGAAAAAGAGTCGAGTAGATGCGTCAGGTGGAGCCCAGCGGAGGTCCTCAAACGAGTATCTAAATAGTCTGGCGCTGCGGCGGATGCGCCGCGGACCCCGAGTCCCAGCCAGACCCCGCGATGCGAGCTCCAGCTAGTGGGCGCTGCTCCCCACGCCACCCTCTGGCACTCCCCCGGCCCCCCTGCCCTGCACATGCATGGCGGGGCTGGGGGAGCGCCAGCAGGTGGGCGGGGTGCGGTTCTCCTCCCTCCTGGTAGAATTTCTTCCACGGCAGTGCACGCGCACACACGTGTTTAGCAGTCTGACCTCCCCACACTCGCAAGAGATGCACTGAGAGAAAAAAATATGCCTGAATGAGTACGCGCTCTCGATGCTGTCTTTCCCACTGGCAGGACCAGGAGATCTTTAAAAGCGTCCTCTGCTGCTAGCGTATCCCGTCCGCGACTGCGGAACCCGCTTGGCTTTCGAACAAGATCCGCGCGCTTGAGCCCAAGCGGCTACAGAGAAGAACGTCTGCTTCTGACAACATGTTTCCAAGAGCTCCCATGCTAGAAAGAAACATGTGGGAGGCGGGGCAAGCTTGCCCTCAACGCACGCTTGTTTCAGACCAAAGTTTCCAGAATAGCCCTGCTCAATCGAAGCACCATGTCTCGTCAACTCGTTGCATCGAGCCGCTCACGCTCCGCGCATAAAATAATAATGATAGATATCTCGAATGGCTTGGGATCCGTGGGCGCAGGCCAACCCCGCCGGGTCTCCGCAAAATACGGTTGCGAGCACCACGTCCCCGCAAGATCGAACGAAATGCATCGCACCAACGTCTCCGACGGCTGCAGCGGCCGAATTGCAAGGTAAATCATGGCAACTCGCCGTTATCGGTGCTGGTGTATACGATTCGATCGGCAATGGCGACACTCCGCAATGAAAACCCCACCCAACGCCGTGATGATCGCCATGGAACGCTGGCGCGCCGAATGAATGGCCGTTGGGAAGAAACGGCCATGCACGCTGGATGAAGAAAATAGGGTAACCCTCCCAAAGAAAATCTACTATATCTTCCGAGATAGCGCAGAACACCTCCGAACGAGAGACCCCCAACTGTGAGAGCCGCGAGAACGTCCCAAATCCGCCGACTCTGTCGGCGTGTGTGAGGGGCTTTTCCGTTCGAGTCGGGCTTTTTCGTTGGAGTCGTCGTCTCCGTCCTCCTCTGTTCCAGTTGCCTGGGCCCTCTTCCTCATACGCGCCTTCCCAAGCAAAATTGAACAACCTCGGAGTAGAATCGAAGGGAACCCCCCCCCCCGGGGGGGGAGGAGGGTCCCGGGGGATGTCGCCACCCAAATATACGTTTCCCCCCACGCCCCTGGCCCCGCTCCAGCCCCGGAACCGGCCCCCGCTCCGGCCCCGCACGGCCCAACCCAGGGGGCCCCAGGTCCTGGCCCCGCCGCCCTGGCCCCGGCCCTGGCCCCCGGCCCCCAGACCCACCCCCTGCCGTGGCCCCGACCTCGGCCCCAGCCCTGGCCTTCCTTAGCCGTGGCCCCAGCCTAAGCCCCAACAGAGCCCAACAGAGCCCAATAACCGCCGCCGCCGTCGTGGTCGCCGTCCCCCTTCAGGCTCGGCGGCACCGGCCGCCAGAGCCGCGAGAACGTCCCAAATATAGATGACTGAAGGAAGTGCAGCTGAAAGTACGTATGCTCGGCACAGAAGGGTTGGAGGCGGTGCTTGGCCCTGCACCGTTCTTCACCGCTGACGGTGAATGGTGAGGAGCGCATCGAGCATTCGATCCGCACCCCATCGGAAGTTAACCGAATCTCACTGCCAAGAGAAGGGATGTACCAAGCCTTGCGGGCATGCTTTGTTTATGCTCCTCAAACGTTTGAGCGCATATAGCTGCAACCAAAACAGCCAAGCATTTCTTGCACGCCATAAGAGACATCAACAACAAATCATCGACATACTTGACTGCGCGCGTGTAGTCGCTCCGCGTCCCGCGCAAGCCAAGCTGCTGAGACATCCGAGGCCAAGCGACGGTGTTGAAAAGAAGCTCGCACTGCGAGAGCGTCACGAACAATCTGCAACTGCTGAACTGTGCGCTGGCTGGCGTGCCTTTTACTGGCTCCAAAAAAAAATCCCGATCGAATAGTACTTCATCGTCCCGCAAATCGCAATCGCATTCCTTCGCACATCGGTGAAGAATGCCGCGGCTGGACAAACGTTCCGTCCGCGCCGGCCTCCGACGTGCACGGCTCCAGCGGGGGCGTGTTGGACCGTGGCCATGCCCACGCCAGCATTTCGAGCGTTGTTGAATAGACGAGATGCGGCGAGTTCCTGCGCCCGCGGACCCGAGCACTCGAAGGCCTCTCCAGGATCGCACTCGTACGCGGCCGGCCCGCACATGGCCACCTCACATAGAACACAACATTGAAGAGAAGTCGATGTCCACACGCGCCGCCACGCCGACGCCTGCGTCGCGCAGTAGCCTTGAGTCGGAGTGTTTGCGAGATGCTTGAGCCCAATCAACTCCCATCCTGGCATGAAACGCTCCACCCAGAACGTGACCGCCTTGGACACGCGTATGAACTGACGTCGACCGGGAACGTGCGAGAAGGAAAAGTGTAACGCAGGCATGCATGTCTAGGCTTCTGGCAGCGACGTTTGGATGGTGGTTCGCCAGGCTGTGCTGGCGCTTCGCAGAAGTCCATCCTACCTGCATGCGAGCACACACGCCATCAGTGCTAAACTCCTCACGCATACAGTTGGAGAATACAGTCCAAAAAACGTCTGAATCACTTCGCATGCTGCTGAAACCAAACGCGTGTGCCAGACTGTTAAGAGGCCCTGGCAAACTGAGCCTGCCCGATATACCGTAGATGCGGTGCGACAAGCTGGTAAATGACCGAGGAGGAAGCAGATCAGAGCCTGAACGTGGCCATGGACAGATTGGTGCGGGTGGCACAACACGGCGGTCATATGGCGTCCTTCCAAGATCGCGCAAGCCTTGAGAGCTACCGCTCGAGCGCGACACCCGCACAGCCAGCCGCGCCTGACCTCCAACATGCCAAGAACGCAGGAGAAAACACAAAACATCTTGAACATGTTCTTTAAGGATGCGCGGCTGTGCGTTCCAAATGTCGGCCAAAACATGGTGGAAATTTGTGCACCAGTCCCAGAACGATGCCGAACTACGTCCCGACATCACTGCCCAGAAAGTTGTGGTGCACAATTATTTTGAACTGTTGCTTTAATAAGCCAGATAGAGCCCCTCGAATTTCAACCCGATGTTGTTCGCGGCCTCCGACACTTCAACTGCAGCGCAACCAGCCACAGCGAAGCAGCAAACCCGTTGCTGGAGCAGGAGAGGCTTTGCAGCAAAGCGCAAGCTCTGGAGTGGCGCACTGGTTGTGGTGACTCGTTTGCGCCAGCTGGAAAAGGTACTGGTTGAGCTATGTATTGAAGAACTACGTTGGCAATCAGAAAGCCAGCACGCACGCAAGATGCCAAATGCGAAGAAGTACGAACAACTTAACATGAATCTAGTATCCCGCCGTCTCCTCTTCCCCCCTCCCCTCTCCCCCCTCCCTGTCTCCCACCCCTCCTTGCCTCCCTCCCTCCCTCCGCCCCTCCGCCCCTCCCTCTCACAGCGCCCCCCCCGCAGCGCAGCGGCCGGCGTGATCTGGCCTCAACTGCGGGAAACGAGACGAGAGGGCGTCGACAACGGCCGTACAGTCGGACCTGGGCCAGAAGGACATCCCCAAGAACGTGAGACCCTCCGTCGGCCAGAGCGCACAGACCATCCGAGGGTGCCTTCCCCAGGATGCACGAGAACATCCAACAGCTACGAAGAACACGAGGGCACCCTCCCTGAAGCGACCTCGACCTCACCCCTCGGTCCCGCCGCAGAGGCCGAGAGCGCTCTCCCTCCTCGCGGGCCTGCGCGGCGCCCGGGGTGCCGAGGCGGCTGGCTGGGCGCCGACGCGGCCCGCTGCCGCGGCGGCGCCGCCCGCGCGCGCGCGGGTCCGCCGGGCTCCCCTCGGGCCGTCGTGCGCGCAGCGGCGAGGGAACGAACGAGCGAGCGCCCCCCAAACATGCAACGCCATGAGCGCATCGAGACGGACCTGTTTCCTGTGCTGCTCTTTACCAGGGCCTGTCAACAAACGGCTTGGGGTAGAAATCTGGCCCCAGGGAGATGGTGGGGAGTTCCAGGGACCGCGTGTGGAAAAAAATCCTCCTCCTCCTGTCTGGGTCGGACCCCCCCGTAGGGGACGGGCCAGCGAGCGGCCTGTGCAGGGCGACCGTGCCCACCCGAGAGTTCCTTCACGGCGGTGTCCAGAGGCGACGTAGGCGCGCAGCGGCGGGGGG